GAGCCTCCCTGTCCACTCCCCAGGTTCTGCTGCCCTGGTGGGGGAAATTGAGGGGTGTCCCCCTGTGTTCCCCACTGGATTTGGGGTGCTGGGGATGCCCTGCATGACTTTGGGGGGACTCATTTTGACCCCGGGGGTCGCCTGATCTGGGGGGTGGCATCCAAGGAAGGGAGGTCCTGAGTGGTCCTGGGACCCCCTGGGGGCACTTCCATGTGCGGGGATGTCCCCAGGGATCCTGGGGACTCCCTGCGAGTGACACAGGTGCCCCCATGCCCTTCCCGTCCCCATGGTACGGGGCCTCTGATTGGCCAGTTGGTTTGAGTGACAGTTCCGAGAGGGCCACGTTTCCCCGCCCACCTTGAATCGGAGCGTGCTGATTGGCTGATCGATCGCAGCGGGTCAGATCCAGCCAGTGGGAGGGCGCGGTGTGGCCCTGCAGCCGCGCCCCCCGGCAGCGCCCACCCCTTGTCCTCCGTGGGACCCCGGTGTCCCCACCCTCGGGGTGGGCAGTGGCCCCACGTCCCACCCCACAACCAGCAGACATTCCTCCAGCTCCGGTCACAGGGGTTTATTGGGGCCCGGCCTCCGATGGCTCTGCCGCCACCGCCGGTGGCTCTTGGGGTCGGGGGTGTCGCCTCTGCCCCATTGCCACATGCTCCGCTCCAGCTGTTCCCTGTGAACCCCGATGCTGGCAGAGCTCTCGGGTCGGTCGGCTGGGCAGGGAGGGGCTGAGGAGGGGCTGGGGGCATCATCCGGGGGTCCCCTCCTGCCCGGTGTCTCCGTTACCGGGATGACAGCATCATCACGAACTCTGCGGGGCGAGGAGGGGACATCAGGGACCCGGGGCTCAGCCCCGCCGCGGCCCCAAGGGGAAGGGGGTGCCCTCACCATCGAAGTCCACGTGACCGTCCCCGTTGAGATCCACGTCCTGCAGGATCTCGTCCACCTCCTGCGCCTTCAGCTGCTCCCCGAGCAGCGCTGCAATGGCCTCCCGCATCTCGGCCGTGCTGATCTCCCCGTCCCCATTCATGTCGAACTGCAGCACCCGCGGGCTGGGGGTCACCCTCCAACCATGGCCACTGGCACCCCTCAGCTCCCTGTGGTCACTGTCTCTGCGCTTGTGGTCACCACCATGGTCATCGTTCCCCCCTGGTCACTGTCCCCTCCATGCCTGTGGTCACCCCATGGTCATTGCTTCCCCACTGTCACTGTCCTCTCCTGCCTGTGGTCACTAGCGTGGTCTTCCCATGGTCAGTGTCCCCTCCATGTCTTTGGTCATCCCATGGTCCCCCCTATCTCACCATGGTCTTCCTGTGATCACCACCCCATCCACGCCCCGTCATCACTGTCCCCACCAGGGTCTCTCCAGGGTCCCTGTCCCCTCATGGCTGTGGTGTCCCTGAAGAGGGGACGCCATGCCCGCTGTCCCCATGGCGGTGGCCGTACCTCGCGGAAGGCGATCTTGAGCTCCCTCACGCCCACCATGTGCGCCGTCTCCTCCCGCAGCTTCGGGCCCATCATCTGCACAAAGTCCTCGAAGTCCACGCGGCCGCCCACTGTGGCAGGAAGGGGACAGACACCCTCAGCACCCCAGCAACCCCAGGTCCCCTCCCCGTCCCCCCGAGCCCACTCACTCCTCATCTTGATGTGCTGGGAGATCTCAATGAGCTCCATCTCGGTGGGCATGTAGCCCAGCGTGCGCATGCAGGCGCCCAGGTCCTTGTAGCTGATGTAGCCATCCTGGTCCGTGTCAAACTCCTTGAAGGCGTCCAGCAGCTCTGGGCACAGCCATGGGTGGGGACAGGGACATCATCAGGAGTGGAGGGTCACACAGACACCATGTCACCCCGGGGCAGATCCCTTCTTGGATGTGGGAGACCCCTCCATGGCCATGTCCCCATGGCAGATCCCTCCATGAGGACGGATCCATCCCTCCCCACCAATTCCCCTAGGCCCGTGTTCCCACCCCGTCCCCCTTGCTCACCATCCAGCTCCTCCGGTGACAGCTCCCGCTCCTGCATGGGACACACAGAAGGGGTGACAGCAGAATGACACCCCGCTCCGTGTCCATCCCCCCTCCTTGCCCCCACAAACCTCGGTGTCACCTTTGTTAAGCGTGGGCCAAAATTAACTCCAGCGGAGGATTAGTGGGATTGGAGGCAAAGCCCCGCCCTGCCCTGTGCCTGCACCTCCTACCCACCCTGTCCTGGTCCCTGTGTTCCTCCTCCTGTCACCCACCCCAGAGGTGTCCCACCCTGGGACCCCCAGGCTCTGGATGGGATGTGCTGGGTGGCCACAGAGGGGGGTTGTACTCCAGAGGTGGAGGGGTAGCATTTTTACCCCCCACAGAGCTTGGCTGCCCCTGCTCTAGATGTGCCCTCAGTATGTCCCCTCTGTCCCCAGGGCCCTGGAGTGTCCCCAACACCATGTCCCACCTATCCCCACGACTCCAGGCTGTCCCTGACTGTTCCCAGTGCCCCATATCCCCTTCATCCCCAGGTTCCCAGCCAGTCTCTGAGCCCATCCTCGCTGTCCCCATGTCCTCATCCCTAGGGTCCCAGAGTGTCCCTGACTGTGTCCCCACTGTCCCCATGTCCTTTTAATTCCTAGGGACCCAGGGTGGCCTGACCATGTCCCCAGTGCCCAACATCCCTTCCATCCCCAGGGTCCTGGTGTGTCCCAACCACATCTTCACTGGCCCCATGTCCCCTCCGTCCCCAGGGTTCCAGAACATTCCCATCCCACTGTCCCCAGGCCCATCCTGACTGCCTCATTGCCTTCTTCATCTGCAGGGTCCTGGACTGTCCCTGTCCCCATCCCCACTTTCCCCATGTCCCTTCCATAGCCAGGGACTTGGAACAGCCCCACTGTGCCGATGTCCCCATGTCTCAAATGCTCCAAATCACCTCAAATGCCCCTGTCTCCCTTCCATCCACAGGATCCTGGACTATCCGTGTCCCCATCTCCCCTGTCCCCACATCCCCTCCATTTCCAGGGTCCCTCCATGCCCACCCTCATGCCCATGTCCCCTCCTGGTGTCCCCACCTTGCCGAAGACGGTGTTGAGGAAGGGGGAGTAGGTCTTGATGGCAGCAGCGTGGGGGTCCACGGCACCCTTCTTCCCACTCTTCTGCCCGTGCCCGCCGTGCCGGGATTCGGAGCCGGAACTCTTGGGGGCCGGGGCACTGACGTCCTCGGGGGCTTTGGGGGCTTTCTCCCCTTCCTCGTGCCCCCCTTTTCCCTTCTGTGGGGGCTCCGTGTCCTTGTTGTCCTTGGGGGTCCCCTTGTCCCCGCGGGAGCGTGGCATGGGGCCGGGGCCGGGTGGGCAGCGGGTGGGCAGGGAGCGGGACCCCGGGATGGCCGAGCCGGAGGAAGGAGCCGGGAAATCCTCTTACACCCCCCGTGACCCCCCCGAGCTCCCCCCGCCGCCAGGGCAAAGCCAATTAGCGGTGATTAATGGCAGGAAACAGCCACGGCCACGGGCCCCCGGGCACCGGACAGGTCTCCAACAGCATCCCAGGGTCACCACCGAGGCCCCAAGTGCAGAAGTGACACCCCACAGCCACCAGTGTCCCCAGCATTGTGCCCAGCAGTGACACCCCACAGCCACCAGTGTCCCCAGCATTGCTCCCAGAGGTGACACCCTCAAGCCACCACGGTGTCTCCAGACCAAGCCACATCCCCAGTGGTGACACCGCAAGGCCACCACTGTGTCCCCTCACCTGGCACCTCTCCCGACCTCCCCCCACCTCTAAGGTAGGTTCATTTATTGTCCCCCAGGATGGGGACTGGTGGCATGTCCCCAAGACATGACTGCGTGGGCACAGGGTGTCACAGGGGGCTTCAGAGGAGAGGGACCCCCCCAAAATGAGAGCAGGGTAAAGCCCGGCCCGGGGGGTGACCCTGGCTGCCGTGTCACCCCGGGGTGACACAGAGGGGCGACACCGGTGGGGGTGACAGTATCCCTGTGTCACCCGCTGCCATTGCCCCTGTGCCACCCGCCACTGTCACCGCTGTGCCACCCACTGGCGCTGTCCACGGGGACCGAACCCCCGGCTGTCCCCGTCCATGGGGTGTCCCCGTCCATGCCGGGTCCCCGTCCATGGGGTGCCCCCTGTCCCCACCCCCGCCGGTGCCCCCGCCCCGGAGCCGCGCAGGCGCGGGGCGGCCCCGGTCACTTCCTGCCCCGCCCCCGCCGCCGCCGCCGCTCCTGCCGCCCCCGAGACCGGCACCGGCCCCGGGCACCGACCCGCCGGTGAGTGCGGGCACCGGGACCGGGCACCGAGCCCCGTCCCGACCCGCCGGGCGCGGGCCCCCCGGGCCCCCCATCCGCCTTCCCGGGGCAGCCCCATCCCCGTTCCCGGCGGGGCCACCCCCTGTCCCGGTCCCCATCCCTGTCCCTCTCCCAGTCCCTCCCCCTGTCCCTGTCCCCATACCTAGCCGAGCCACCCTTTCCCTGTCCATGTCCCCATCCTCGTTCCCTGTCCCCATTCCTGTTGCTGTACCTAGCGCGGCCACCACCGGCCCCATTCCTGACCCCGCCCCCGTCCCCATCCTTTTTCCTTGTCCCTGTCCTCGTCACTATCCACGTACAGAATGAGGCCACCGCCGGCCCCATTCGTGTCCCCCATCTCTGTCCTTGTCCCATCCCTTTCCCTGTCCCTGACCCCATATCCAGCAGGGCCACCCCTGTCCCGCGATCTGTTGGAGCTGTCCCTGCCCTCCTTTCCATCCCCACCCGTGTTTCCGGGAGGACACCCTTGTCCCTGTCCCCATGCCAAATGGGGCACTCCCTGTCTCACTCAGAGCCCCCATTCCTGGGGTGCTTCCCGAGCTCCCTTCAGGGAGCTGGCAGGGACAGGGGTGTGTCCCCCAGGAGTGGCTGAGCCACCCTTTACCGGGCTGGAAGACAGTGACAAACCCGCTTCAGGGGACACCCCATTCCCTGGTGTCCCCGCCTGCCTTTTTGGGGTATCCCAGCGCGCCTGACCGCGGCCGGGGCGCTCCCCAGCCATGTCCTTCCGGAAGGTGGTGCGGCAGAGCAAATTCCGGCACGTGTTCGGGCAGCCGGTGAAGACGGACCAGTGCTACGATGACATCCGCGTGTCCCGCGTCACCTGGGACAGCACCTTCTGCGCCGTCAACCCCTCCTTCGTCGCCATCATCGTGGAGGCCAGCGGCGGCGGCGCCTTCCTCGTCCTCCCCCTGCACAAGGTGACAGCAGGGCGGTGACGCGGGGAAGGGCGGCTTGTGCCGGTGGGTGACCCCCTCCCCGCTGTCACTCTGTCCCCAGACTGGACGCATTGACAAGTCGTACCCCACGGTGTGCGGCCACACGGGCCCCGTCCTGGACATCGACTGGTGTCCCCACAACGACCACGTCATCGCCAGCGGGTCCGAGGACTGCACCGTCATGGTGAGGGGTGGCCCTGGATCCTGGGGGGTGGCAGGGTCACCCCGCTTCACTCACCATCCCCTCTGTCCCCTCAGGTGTGGCAGATCCCGGAGAACGGGCTGAGCCAGCCGCTGACGGAGCCGGTGGTGGTGCTGGAGGGCCACTCGAAGCGCGTTGGCATCGTCACCTGGCACCCCACGGCCCGCAACGTCCTGCTCAGCGCGGGTACGGGGGGACACGGCGGGCACGGGGAGGGGGCCGCGTGCCCGAGGGTGACCCCTGCCGTGTCCCCCAGGCTGTGACAACGTGGTGCTGATCTGGAACGTGGGCACGGCCGAGGAGCTGTACCGGCTGGACGGGCTGCACCCCGACCTCATCTACAGCGTCAGCTGGAGCCCGCGATGGCTCCCGCTTCTGCACCGCCTGCAAGGACAAGAGCGTCCGTGTCATCGACCCCCGCCGCGGCACCGTGGTGGCCGTGAGTGTCCCCACCCCTGCAGGGGACCTGTGTCACCAGGACACTGCCCTGCGCTGGTTCCTGGGGGGAATCCCCTGCTCCCTGCCCTTGTCCCTTGGTGCACCCCGTCGTATACCGCGTTCCATGGGTGTCCTTGTCCCCCGGTGCTCCCCGCTGTCCCCTGTCCCTCGGTGCCTGTCCCTGGGGTGCTGCAGGCGCCGGTGACAGCCGTGCCCCCCAGGAGAAGGAGCGGGGCGCATGAGGGGGCCCGTCCCATGCGCGCCATCTTCCTGGCCGACGGCAAGATCTTCACCACCGGCTTCAGCCGCTATGAGCGAGCGGCAGCTGGCGCTCTGGGACACGGTGAGTGCCACCCCGGGGCTCCCCCAGAACCATCCTGGGGTTCCCCGTGTGCCTGACACCTCATCCCACCCCAGGAGAACCTGGAGGAGCCCATGGGGCTGCAGGAGCTGGACTCCAGCAACGGGGCTCTGCTGCCCTTCTACGACCCCGACACCAACGTGGTCTACGTCTGTGGCAAGGTAGGGATCCCCCCCGCCCTGCCGGTGGCACCCCCAGAGCCAGGGTCCCCCCTAACAGCGTGTCCCCAGGGGGACTCGAGCATCCGGTACTTCGAGATCACGGAGGAGCCGCCCTACATCCACTTCCTCAACACCTTCACCAGCAAGGAGCCCCAGCGGGGAATGGGCTGGATGCCCAAGCGCGGGCTGGACGTCAGCAAGTGCGAGATCGCCAGGTGGGCACAGGGACAAGGGGGGTGAGGTGAGGTACCCCCCAGAACCCCCCAGAACCTTCCATGACTCCCTCTGCTCCCCTGACAGGTTTCTACAAGCTGCACGAGCGCAAGTGTGAGCCCATCATCATGACCGTGCCAAGGAAGGTGGGTGGGGATAGGGGAATGTGGGGTGGTGGGAGTCCTCAGGGGGACCAAGAGGGGTCACCAGGCAGGACATGGGGCCATGTGGGCAGGACTTGGTGACTGGGCAAGGGGTTCCTAGTCAGTCTGGGTGGGGGTCCCTATGGGGGGTCCCTGAGCAGGACATGGGAGCAGTGGGGTGTCCCCAGTGAGGCCGTGGTGTCTCTCTGGGGGTTCCCCTGAGGATGCCACCCCTCTGACACTGTTGGGGGCAGTCGGACCTGTTCCAGGACGACCTGTACCCAGACACGGCGGGCCCCGAGGCGGCCATGGAGGCAGAGGAGTGGGTGGCGGGGCGCACGGCGGGGCCCGTGCTGGTGTCCCTGCGCCAGGCCTACGTCCCCAGCAAGCAGCGGGACCTCAAGGTGAGCCGGAGGACGCTGCTCCACGACAGCCGCGCCACCACCGGTGCCCACCACCGGGGCCACCCACGCCACCTCCCACGCCCCCCGCGGCCCCCGCGTCCGCCCGCTTCAGTGCCCCCGCCGGTGCTGGGCTCCGGCAGCGCCACGGTAAGGGGACAGGGGGACAGGGAGGGACAGGGGGGACAAGCGGGAAAGGGACGGAGGGGTGTGATGGGTGTGGCTGTGGCTGTGCGGTGGGTGCAGTTCCTCTGATGGGCCATGGGTGGGTGTGGCAGTGGGTGTGGCTCTGTTGGGCGTGTCCCGTGACGGGGCTGTCCCTCAGGGAGGTCGCCTGGACGAGGTGCTGCAGGAGGGTGGCGGCGCTGCGGGCGCTGGTGGCGGAGCAGGGCCAGCGCATCTCCCGCCTGGAGGAGCAGCTCAGCCGCCTGGAGAACGGCCACGTGTAGGGACCCCCTCAGGGACCACCGCCCCAGGGACCACGCCTGCGCCCCAGGGACCCCCCTGAACCATCTCGCCCCCCTGGGGTGCCCCCCCTTGCCCCGCTCTGGGCCCCTTTCTCCCATTGGGGGGCTGGCCGCCCCTCTGGCAGCTCCCCGCTTCCCCCCATTGCCTTACTGGGTGCTGCCCCCCCCGAATCATGGACCATTCTCCACCCCTGCCCCCCGTTCCTTGGGCTGGGGATTGCTCCTGGGATCAAAGATTACCCCCTGCACCCCCCCAATCCCTGTGTGGGGTCTGCCCCCTTTCTGTGGGGCAGGGCATGATCTGCCTTCCTAAACTGTGAGATATCGTCCCCCCCTATATTTTGGGGGCTTTTCTTCCCCTCCTCCTCCTCCTCCTGTCCCCCCTCTCCATTCCAGTGCAGGGTCAAAAACTATATTTTCACTCCAAATAAAGGATTTATAAGAAAAGTGCTGGGGGTGATTTATAGGAAAAGCTGCAGGGCCACCTGTGGGGTGGCAGAGCGGGGGCAGGCAGGAAGGCGCAGCGGTCACGGGTGGGAGCTCGGCGCCTCGGCAGGAAGTGGGGCGGCACGGGGCGGCATTTTGGGCAGCAGAGAGGGTGAGGGGGTGCAGAGCTCGGCCCCCCCCGCTCGGCACATCCGCTGCACGGGCAGGAAGTTGGGGGGGGCTCCCCCATCTCGCAGCGCGCCTGCGGCATCGGGACCCGCTCTGGCTGCACCCCACTGATGGTGAGCACCCCAAAAACCGGGCAGGGTGGGAGACTGGGAGGGGCTGGGAGCGCAGGGGATGGGGGAAAGGTTGGGGGAGCCAGGATCAGGGAGCCAGAGTGGGGGTGGGGGAGGTGGGAAGGTAAGGGGAGTCTGGAATGTTTGGGGGGATAAGGGGAGCACAGTGGGGTTGGGGGGAAGGAGGGGGGGGTCCTTCAGGGGAGCTTGGTGGGGCTTGGGGGTAGGTCTGGTATTGGGGTGGGGCTGGGGGCTGTGCACGCTGGGTTTGGGGGGCTCTGGAGCTTTGGCAGGGGGTGCTGTGGGGCTGCAGCCCTGTGGGCAGGGGGATTCTAGGGGGGCTGTGCAGCCATGTGGGGTGGCAGGACCCGGTTCCTCTCCCCCAGCACCTGCAGGTGCTGCTGCACCCCGCCACCCACGGCTTCCGTCCCCGAGGGTCACCTCCCTCTCCGCGGCCCTTGTCCTCTGCCCTGTACCTTGCCCCGGCCCTTCCCTGCGTTCCAGCTCCGGGAAGCCACGTGCCCGGCGCCGTGTGACCCCGCTGCCCTCCCCGCAGGCTGCCCCGCGATGGCACCCGCTGCTGCTGGCGCTGGTGGGGCCGGTGGCAGCGGGGGACCCCGCGGTGGCCCGCAACGACCGGACGGTGGCCGCGCTGCTGGGGCTGCTGCTGTGCCTGGTGCTGGGGCTGGCGCTGGCCTGGCACCACCTGTGCCGCCTCTCGGCCGGCCAGTACCCACCCCCCGGCCCCTGGGCCGCCGGGCGCTGCAGCTGCTGCGGGGACAGTGGCACCGGCTGCGCTCAACGCCGGGGGACCCCGCCCGCGACCCCCGGGGACAGCCACGGGGAGGTGGCCGTGCGCGACGAGGAGGAAGAGCTGATGCCATGGAGCCTGGACCGGCGGCCGCAGCAGGAGGAGGAGGAGGAGGATGAGCAGGAGGAGGATGAGAAGGAGGAGGATGAGCAGGAAGAGGATGAGGCCGAGGCAGCGCCGGAGGGCAGGGAGAGCCCCCTGAGTGAGGGGCAGGCGGTGGGGGGCAGCGCCGAGGCCCTGCTCAGTGACCTGCACGCCTTCTCGGGGACAGCGGCCTGGGGGGACGCGCGACCACACGTCACCGCCTTGTGACATCACCGTCCTGACGTCACCACCCTTTATCATCTCCCTGTAGTATCACCTCCTTGTAATGTCACTGCCCTGTAGTGTCACTCCCTGTAATGGCACCTCCTTGTAATGTCACCTCCCCTGTAATGTCACTGCCCTGTAGTGTCACTCCCTGTAATGGCACCTCCTTGTAATGTCACCTCCCTGTAATGTCACTGCCCTGTAGTGTAACTCCCTGTAGTGTCACTCCCTGTAGTGTCACCTCCTTGTAATGTCACTGCCCTGTAGTGTCACTCCCTGTAATGGCACCTCCTTGTAATGTCACCTCCCTGTAATGTCACTGCCCTGTAGTGTAACTCCCTGTAGTGTCACTCCCTGTAATGTAACTGCCCTGTAGTGTCACCACCCTGCCAGCAAAGGGACCCTCTCTCTGTCCCCCGCCAGCCCCCAGCCGCGGCTCCTGAATGGCTGCAGGGGCCTTGTCCGAATGTGCACTGACCAATAAAAGAGCAGCTCTGGGGCCAGAGCAGACCAGGGGGCGTGGTTTGCAGAGAAGTGGGTGGAGCCAACAAAAGGGTGTGATGAGTGGGAGGAGCCTAAAACAGGGCGGGGCATCACACAGGGGGTGGAGCCTGGACCCTCCCCTGGTGGGGCAACTCCCCCAGCCCCCCAGCCCCAGCAGAGGGACAACCACAGCCTCAGCAAGTCCTTTAATTGGCACACATCCAGCAGCAGGGCCACGCCCCAGGGGGCCACACCCCAAAGGCCGTGCCCCCAGAGGGGCCACACCCCAAAAGGCCACGCCCACGGGGCCACACCCCTGGGGGTTCTCCCCGTGCCCCCAAACCCGGTGGGCAGGGGGCTGTGCCGGAGGGGGACGAGCCCCCCGGAGCACAGGCAGCACCGTGGGGTTCCCCCCACCCCATGGGGAGCACCAGGCCCCCCCCAGAACCCCCCACCCTCCCCACCCCTACCTGGGCACCCGGCCCCGGCCCCCCTTCTGCTTCTTGGCCCCGCCCGAGGGTTTGATGGGCAGGGGGGCCGTGCCCTCAGGTGGGGGGGCCTGGGGGGGCCCCAGCTCCATGGGGTCGCCTGGGGCCACCGGCTTGAACGCCTCGAAGGGGGAGAACTTCACAGGGCTGGGGGGACACGGGAGGGGGTGAGTGGGGGGGCAGCCAGTGCCCACAGAACTCCTTCCCCACCCCTGGAGGCCCCAACTCCCCCCATATTCCATGGACCTCCCCTACTCCTTCTCCACCCCCTTGGGGCCCACCCTGATTCCCTCACCCCAAAGCACCCCAAACCCTCACCCCACTGCCCCACAGCCTCTCTGTACCCCCAGGATGGGACAGGTTGAGCCCCCCCCCCCTGCACCCCCAGCACTGTTCCCTGTCGCCCACCCTGAAACCCCCATCCCAAAGCGCCTCCATCCCAAAGCCCCCCACCCCAGGCACCCCCTGTGCCCCGGTACCTGACGGGGGTGCGGGGGCTGCTGTTGAGGCGGCGGGGGGAGCGCACCTTGGGCTGGAAGGAGAACCCCTCCTTGATGCTCTCCAGCACCGAGGGGGCCACGTAGGTGAAGCCCTGTGGGGTTGGGGGTGTCACAGGGGAATCCTGGGCATGCCAGGGGTCCCCCCCGGGGCTGTGCCCCCCTACCAGGAAGGCCTGGTTGGCGCTCTCGCTGATGGCAGCGTCGTCAGGGCTGTCCACAGGGGTCTGGCGGGTGAAGCGGGTGTCGAACTGGCTCACGTCCTCCTCCGACTGCTGCGGGGAACATGGAACACGGCAGCCGCTCCTACGGGGCCCCCCAAAAAACATTGCCAGCCTCCCCCCTCGGCCCCCCATACCAGGCAGGGTTTGAAGGGGGGGTCCAGCCTGCGCGCCAGCAGGTCCTCCCAGTTGATGTGGCGGAAGAAAGGCTGTTTCTGTGGGATTTGGGGGTGTCAGGCAGCATTTGGGGGGTGTCCCCTGGCACCCCCCCATCCCCACCCACCCCTGTACCTGCACATCGGCCGCGTCACCGGGGCCCCCCCCAACCCTCTGGCTGGGGTTCCGCTTCAGGAACTGGAAGAGAAACGGGGATAGAGATGGGAATGGGGGGAGAACCTACATGAATAAAGGTGGGGGAGGGAATTTTGGGGGACGGGGGGCACCTTCTTGAGGAGGTCACGAGCGTCGGGTGTCAGGTAGGGCGGCAGCACCAGCTTCCCTTTGAGGATCTTGTCGATAGTCTTCTTGCGGTTCTCGGCAGTGAACGGCGGCTGTGGGGGGCACGGGGGGGCCATGAAGAGCCAGGCGGGCCAGGAAGCTTTAGGGTCACCCCGGGATGCCCCCCCAGTCCCCAGGGAGGAGGGAGGGAGCAGCGGTGGCACTTGCCGATCCGGTGAGCATGTCGTACATCAGGGCGCCCAGGCTCCACCAGTCCACCGCCCGGTTGTGCCCGCTCCGCACCAGGATCTCGGGGGCCCTGGGGGGTGCAGGGGGGGCCCTGAGCGGACGGGGGGGCCAGGACAGACCCCCCCAAATTCCCCCCAGTGCAGCATCCACCTCACATGTACTCGATGGTGCCGCAGAAGGTGTGGGTGACGGCCCCGTCGTGGATGGACTCCTTGCACAGCCCAAAGTCCGTCAGCTTGATGTGACCTGAGGGACATGGGGGGTCAGCACTGCCCCCAGAGAACCCCCCAGGCTCCCCAGTTTGCCCCCCCAAACCCACCTTGGCTATTGAGCATGATATTCTCTGGCTTAAGGTCCCGGTAGATGATCCCATGGGAATGCAGGTGACCCAGGGCCAGCGTGATCTCGCTCAGGTAGAAGCTGCAGTGGGATCGGGGTGGCTGTGAGCCATGTCGGGGTGCCCACCCCAACCACACCCACCACCACCACCTCATCCCTACCAGGCAGTGTCCTCCAGGAAGATCCCTTCCCGCTCCAGCTGCATGAAGAGCTCTCCACCTGAGTAAAGAGCCCAAGAGGGACCCTCCTGAGCCATCCCTGGAAACTCCTTTATCACCCCTGGGAACATCTGAGCCATCCTGGGACACCTTTAAACCACCCCAGAACCCCCTGAGCCAACCTTGGACACCCTCCCTGGACACTGCAGCCACCCCGGGTCCCGCTTTAACCATCCCTGGACCCCCTGAGCCACTCCTCGACACTCCCCTGGACACTGCAGCCACCGCAGATCACCCTTTAACCATCCCTGGACACCCTGAGCCATTCCTGGACACTGCAGCCACCACAGATCATGCTTTAACCATCCCTGGATACCCTGAGCCATTCCTGGAAGCCCTCCCTGGACACTGTAGCCACCCCAGGTCACACTTTAACCACCCTTGGACACCATGAGGCATTCCAGGACACCCTCCCTGGACACTGTAGCCATGCCAGGTCATGCTTTAACCATCCCTGGACACCCTGAGCCATTCCTGGAAGCCCTTGAGCCCCCCCTGGGACAATTTGCAGCCATCCCTGGAGTAGCCCCCGGCTGCCCCGAGCCCGCCCGCACCGCTGAGGCACTCCAGGATGAGGTAGAGCTTGCCGCCCGTCTGGAAGGCGTAGATGAGGTCGACGATGAAGGGGTGCTTGACGGCCTCCAGGATGTTCCTCTCGGCCCGGGTGTGCGCCGTGTCCTTGGCGTTGCAGGCGATCTTGGCCTGGGGGGGAGGCGGTGAGCGGGAGGGGTCCCCGGGGGGGCTGGGGGGGCCGGGGCGCCCCTACCTTCTTCAGGACCTTCATGGCGAAGATCTTGCCCGTGTTGGTGCCCTGCACTTTGCGCACCTGGAACACCTGGAAGGACGGGCAGGGAAGGTTGGGGACGCTGTCGGGGAGCACCAGAGTCCCCTCAGAGGTCCCCAGCCCAGCTGTGTCCCCACCTTGCCGTAGCCGCCCTTGCCCAGGACGCGGAGCAGCTCGAAGCAGTGCGGGCCGATGTGCTCGGGGCCATTGTTGACGCTGCTCTCGGAAATCTCGATCTCTTCATAGTGTCCCACCGGCCTGGCGGGAGAGGGGCTGAGCGGGGACAGCCCCCTGCCTGTCCCCTGCCTGTCCCCTGCCTGTCCCCTGTCTGCACACCCCCCCGCAGGCTGTCCCCCACTTACTCCAGGCCGTTTCCCCGGGGCTCCAGCTCCATCTCCTGCGGGAGGGAACTCGCGGTCAGAGGTGGGCAGGGGACGCACGGCAGGGAGGGGACATATGGCAAGGAGGGGAGACACAGCACAGAGAGGACCCACGGCAGGGAGGGGACACATGGCAAGGAGGGGACACGGCAGGCAGGACACGGGTACGGCAAGGGCAGGACACGAGCAGGACGCGGGCAGGACGCGGGCAGGACGCGGCAGCGCGGGGCGAGGCAGCGCCGAGCCGGCCCAGCCGGATGTTTTGGGGCCGAGGCCGGGCCCTGCCCAGCGGGAGCCGCCCGCTGCCCGCCCGGGATCCGCGGCTGCCCCCGGTGCCCCGGCGCCCCGTCCCGCGGACAGCCCGGCTGCACCCCTGTCCCGCCACCGGCGGGACCCCTGTCACTGCCCTGCCGCTGTCCCCCCAAGCCCCTGCCCGCCGTTCCCGGCACCGAGCGGACCCCACGCCACCCCGACACCCCTGATCCCGCCGTCCCCACCGCGCCCCGGTGCCGCTGGCCGCTTCCACCGCCCGTCCCGCTGCCGGTGCCCCCCGTCCCCGCGGCGCCCCCCGCCCCAGCCCCGGTGCCGGTGGCAGCCCCGGTGCCCCCCCGCGCCCCGCTGCCGGCTCACGGCGCCCAGCTCGGGCTCGTCCCCGTCGCTGCCCTCCTCGGTCTCCAGGTCGATGTCGAACACCCCCGCCATGACGGCGCCGCGCCGGGACCCCCGGGGACCCGCCCCGATGCCCACGCCCCCAGCACGGCCACGCCCCCGCCACGCCCCCCGTGACACCGCCTTATCGGGACCCCGGGGAACCCGCCGCGCTGGCCACGCCCACGGCCGCGCCCCACCCACGGCCACGCCCCCGAGCGCGTCACCGGGGTGTCCCCAGCGCGGGGGACACGGGCACGGGGGTCGCCGGGGGTGGCGCAGGAACAGGACAGAGACAGCGCGACCTCTCACAGCCTTTACTGGGGACCCCCGCCCGCCACGCCCCCTGCGCCGCGCTGACGTCAGCGGCGCCGCCGTGACGTCAGAGGAGGGGCAGGAAGAGAGGGGGACACCCCGGTGACCTCACGTGGAGATCCCGGCCGGGGTTTCCGCGGGGTTGGGGGGCACGAGTGGGGCTGCGGGGCGCCGGGGTTATTGTGGGGTCACTGGGGTGGTTGTGGGGTCACTGCTGCTACTGCGGGGGCTGCGTGTTGGTGTAGGGTCTCTGGTGTTATTGTAGGGTCGTGGGTGTTATTGTAGGGTCAGGGGCACTGCAGGGACTGGGGTTTGTTGGAGAGTTTCAGGCACTACAGTGGCTGTGTGTTATTGCAGGCTCCCAGGCACTACAGGGGCTCTGTGTTATTGTAGGATCTCTGGTGTTATTGTAGGGTCGTGAGGGCTGTAGGATGTGGGTGTTATTGTAGGATCACTGCTGTTATTGTAGGGTCAGGAGCACTGCAGGGCTCTGTGTTAGTGTGGGGTTCCTGGTGTTGCTGTAGGATCTCGGGCATTACAGGGGCTGGGTGTTAGTGTGGGGTCACTGGTGTTACTGTAGGGCCTCCCCAGTGACAGCCCTATATCACATCACACAAGCCTTCCCAGAGGATTTTCTGAGCTGCTCCAGGGAATCCCTGGGTGCCCCTCTGTTGTTGTAGGGTTCCCTGGTGCAAGTATATCATTGCAGGGTCTCCCCAAGCCAGTTTGTTATTGTAGGGTCTCCCTTTCAGTGTATGCTGTTGTAGGGTCTCCCCTAAGCACAGGTTTGTTACTGTGGGTTCTCCCCCTTTGTTATTGTAGGGTCTTCCCTTCCAGGGGGTCATTGTGGGGTCTCCCCACCTCAGTCTGTTACTGTGGGGTCTCCCCTTGCTGGTGTGTTATTGTGGGGTCTTGCCACATTTCTTTGTTATTATGGGATGTCCCCATAATTCGTTGTCATTTTGGGGTCTCCCTCCCCATAGCGGTTTGTTACTGTGGGGTCTCCCCATGCCAGCAGGTGCCAACACACCTCACGCTTCACCTGCTGCTTTCATGGGGTGGCCTGGCTGCCTCGGGGGTCCTGGCTGCCCCACCCTGGGGGTGGCACGGGGATAGCAGGGGACAGTGTGCCCCTGTGTGTCCCCAGGCATGGGACAGACCCCCAGCTTCAGGGACAGGGGGTACAGACTGTAGGGACAGGGCAGGGGGGACAGGGAGAGATGTTGGGAAGCAGGGAACGGGGTGCTAGGGCAGGGGAATGGGGTGTCTGGACTGGGAGAGGGGGAATCTTAGGATGAAGGGTGTCAGTGTGAGGATGAAGTGCCAGGATGGACAGGGATGCCAGGGAATGTGGTGCCAGGACATGGGGGATGCCGGGGATTGGGGTGTCAGAGTAGTGGGGGGTGCCAGGAGATAGGGTTTCAGGATGCCAGGACATGGAGTGCCAGGGGAATGAGGGGATGCCAGGGGATGGAGTGCCAGGTTAATGGGAGGATCCCAGTGGATGGGATGTCAGGGTGCCAGGGAATGGACTGCCAGGCCAGGGGATGGGGGGACAGCGGGACGGGGTGCCGGGGGGATGCCAGGGAGGGGCGGCGGGGCGGCGGGAGCTGGTGCCGGCTGTGCCGGGGCACCCATTCCCCCGCTCTCCCCGCTGCCTGCCCGGCGCTATTTGAAGTGGGACAAGAAATGCTCCACGGGATATCGCGGGGAGTCGATGCCCAGCCCCTGGCAGAGCCCCAGCAGGCGCTCGCAGGCCTCGGCCAGCGTGGCCCCGGCGCACGCCACGCTCAGCAGCGGCTCCTCGTACTCGCCGGCCCCCTCGGGCTCCTCGAAGAGCCGGTTGAGGCGGACGAGCCCGCGGCCGTGCAGCTCCCGCAGAGCCTCCATGCCCCCGCCGCCCGCCAGGCTCGGGCCGTGCTCCGAGGCCAGGCACATCACCCCGGCCAGGTGCGTGCGGGGCGCGGGGCGGGCGGGCAGCACGGGCGGCACTCCCAGCGCCACCAGCACGGCGGCCAGCAGCAGGTCGGGGCCGTAGACCTCGCGGATCCAGTCGCGCAGGTAGAAGCCCCCCATGCGGGGGTTGATCTCCAGCAGGCGCGGCCCCGCCGGGCCCAGCTTGAGCTCCACGTTGAAGACGCCGTCGCGCAGCCCGCACGCCCGGCAGCATTGCAGCGCCGCCCGCACCAGCTGCGCCTGCCGGTCGGCGGGCAGGCAGGAGGGCAGGCAGGCCGCCGTCTCCAGGAAGGCGGGGACACGCGTGGGGCCGTTGTCCGACACCCAGGCGCCCAGCAGCCGCCCCTCGAAGACCACCAGGTCCACGTCGTGCTCGGTGCCCGGCACGTACTCCATGAGCAGCATGGCGTTGCCCCAGCCCAGCCCGATGCCCGGGTGGTCGGCGTCGTCGCGCAGGTCCCTCCAGAGGCGGGCGGCGTGAGCGTGGCACTGCCCGGCGTTCTCCACCAGCCGCACGCCCACGCCGCCCGCGCCGAACTCCAGCTTGGCCACGGCGGGGAAGGGCACGGCGCCCGCCGCCCGCTCCACGTCGCCGTGGCTCCGCAGGCGGCGGCAGGGCACGGCGAAGACGGCGGGCGGCGGGCGGCCGCGGCGGCAGCGCTGCAGGTGCCGGTGCGTGCGGCTCTTCTGCTTGGCCACCCGCACGGCGGCGGGCGCGGGGCCGCGGAGCCCCAGCCCCTGGCACACCAGGGCCGCCAGCACCACGCAGTCGTCCCAGTAGGAGAGGCAGGCGTGGGGCCGCAGCCCCCGGGAGCGCAGCAGCTCCAGCACCCGCTCCGCGTGCTCCTCGTCGCGCCGGTGCTCCCGGCTGTCGTAGGGCAGGAAGGTCTGCACCAGTCCCGCCGCGAAGTGCTCCGGGTCCGACTCCACCAGGTGGATCTGCGGCCCCGGAGAGGCGTCACCGGGGGGGCGGCCGGCCCCGGGCCCGCGGCTGTGCCGCCCCGAGCCCGCTGGCGCCCCGGGCCCCTCACCTTCAGCCCGTAGTCGCGGGCCGCCTCCCACACGAAGCTCTTGCTGACGCCGCCCGCCCCGATGAGCAGGATGTCCTTGCCCTCGACCAGGTGGCGCTGCGCCCGGTGCAGCATGGCCTCGGCCAGCAGCCGCGGCAAATCCCCGCGGGGCTCGCCCACGCCGCGCCCCATGGCCTCGGCCAGCGCGCACGTCTCCAGGCACCGCTGCCCGTTCGTGGCCAGCGCCACCAGCTCCAGCGCCTCATCCACGCACGCCAGCAGGAAATCCACGCCTGGGGACGGTGACACGGCGCTCAGCACCGCGCGGTGACCGCGAGCACCGACGGCGTCCCCCGCGCCCTGCTCACCCAGGATGTCGGTGCGGGCCCGGCCGCCGCCGCGCTGCCGCGGGCTCAGCTCGGCCTCGCTGGCCATCAGGGCGGCCGCGGCGGCCTCGGTGGCCTCCCGCAGCCGCGTGGCCAGCGCCTGTCGCTGGCTGGGGGCCGCCACCCCCCACTGCTGCAGGCTGGAGTCCAGGCCCTGGGGCAGAGCCGCGCCGTGACGCACCGGGCTCTCCGCGCGTCCCACGGCGCAGGCCACCTGCGTGTGGGGACACGGCGACATCCACGTGTGTGTGGGGACACCGGCTGCCACCGGGGTACGGGGACATTGGCTGCCAGCCCATAGCTTGGGGACGCGGCTGCCGCCAGGGCGTAGGGACGTGGGGTGACACAATGACCCAAGGCAGTGTGGATGGCCAGCAGTCCTGGGGACTCCCAGGGCCACCAGGGCATGGGGACACGGACAGGCACACAGGGCATAGCACACAGATTACCACAGCCTGGGCGCAAGATTGCCACCATAGCCTGGGGACATACAGGGCCACCAGGACATGGGGACAGCCATCATAGGCTGGGGACACACAGAGCCACCGGGGTGTGGGGACACGCCGTACCTGGCAGAGCTGGGGCCGGTCCCCCCAGGACCTGCAGACGAGGGTGCAGATGCGCAGGGCCATGGGCAGCCGCGGGGCTGGGCTGCCTGGGGGGCAAGGGACAGGGCAGGCACGGCCGCCATGCGGGGACGGGGCCGCCCTGCCCCACCTCCCCCTCGCCCTCCTCCGGGGCCTTTTGGAACTCCCTGCGGCACCGCGGTGGCCCCGGCCAAGCCCAGCCCCAGGGAGTGAGGGGTACAGCATCGCTACTGTCATCCCCAGCCCCACGGGACTGTCGGGAGTCAGAGGGGGTCACCCCAACACCCTGCCCAGCCCCGGGGGACCGTGGGGCTCCAGGGTGACTTTCCCCCCCACCACAGGGGACCATGGGAGTCCAGGGTGACCTTCCCCACCTCTCCCCATGGGTCTGTGGGGGTCCAAGGTGGCAAACTGTCCCCCAAACCCTAACCTAGGGAACTGTGGGCTCTTCAGGGTGACCCTCGTGCCCTCCCCCAGGACCCCAGTAATTTGGGCACCCCGATGGCCCCCACCCACCCGCCCCAGGGCACAGACACGTGGCCGGCACAGCTGCAGGGACCCGTGGGACCCCGGGGGTCTCTTCCCCCCCTCCCAGGGTGGTGGGCGCCCGAGGGCGGGGGCCTTACGTGGGGGGGGCACGGGCAGGCGGGCGGTGGGCACCATGGCCTCCAGCAGGACGCTGTCCTCCTCCGTCAGCCCCCGGAGCCGGGCACCCACCGCCTGCGCCACCGCCGCCCCCTCCTCCTTCCTGTGGGTGCTGCTGGTGCCTGTCCCCTGCCACCGCCACCCCGCCGGCCGCACCACCACCTGCGTGCACCTCCGTGTCACCCCGTGCCACCTGCTGCCACCCCAGCAGCCAGCCGGCCCGCCTGTGTCACCTTTGCCACCCCACCACCTGCACCCCCCGAGTGCCACCTGGTCGCCACCCTCACAGCCACCCCAGCCCGTGCTTCTCGATGTCCCCCAGCGCCACCCGGCGCCACCAGCACCGCCCGCCCTGCCGTGCCCACCTGGCCGTAGGGCTCCATGGCGGTGCCCCCCAGGAAGGCGCCCACCTCCTCCTGCACCAGGCTCTGCTGGCCCTGGGGGTCCTGCAGCCGCACCAGCCTCACCCCGGGGGCCGCGGGCTGGGCGGGCAGGTCCCCCCTGGTCCCCAGGACGAAGGCCAGCGTGGGGGGCACGGGCAGGTTGGCCCGAGCCGCCAGCACCCAGCGGGTGACCAGCGTGTCCTCGAGGCGGTGGGCGAGCGGCACCGAGCCCCCCGTGGGGCAGTCGAGGTCACGGGCCAGCTCGCCCACCCAGCCACCCTCGGGGTCCCCCGGCGCGAAGGTGCCTGTCACGTAGTTGGCACGGCGAGGTGGCACGAAGGTCTCTAGGGCGCTGTGCCCCCCCACCTTGAAGGAGACGCCCCGGGAGAGCAGCAGGGACCAGGCGCCCGGGCACGACTCCGATGGCACCCGGCTGGCCCAGGAGGGGGACAGGCACAGCACCATGGCACCTGCGGGTGGGCACAGCGGTGGGCGGCGGGCACCCCGCACCTCCTGTCCCAAACTGCCCCCCATGGGGTGGTGCTGGGGGCAGGGTGGGCGCTTGCTGCTGAACTGGTGTGTACTGGGATTAACGGGACACAGGGGGCTGCTGCCACCCTGCTCCCCTGCCTCAGTTTCCCTCACAGTGCGGGTCAGGCAGCACAGGCGGGTTTGGGGACAAGGGGATGGCACCCACCTGGGCAGCGGGTGCCACCCTCCAGCAGGACGGGCAGGAAGGGGGTGGGTGAGCCCAGGATGCAAACGGTCATGTCCAGCGGGCCAAATCCTGCCAGGAAGGGAAGGGTTAACAGCGCCGGGATGGGGACCCTGGCGCCACCCTGCCCGTGGCACCCCAGTGTGGCTGGGAGCCCCCAGACCCCCTGTGTCCCTAGCCTGGCACCGCATCCCCATTGCCACCCTTATCCCTGCCACCCCCGTGTCCCCAGCCTGGCACCACGCCCACATCACTGTCCCTGACACCCCCGTGTCCCCAGCCTGGCACCAAGCCCATAACACTGTCCCTGCCACCCCCTATCCCAGCCTGGCACCAATCCCATAACACTGTCCCTGCTACCCCCTATCCCAGCCTGGCATTGCACCCACATCACTGTTCCTGCCACCCCCGTGTCCCCAGCCTGGCACAGTGCCCCCCGTGTCCCCAACCCGTGCGGGGCTCTGTGGAGCAGTCCAGCGTGGGAGGCAGCCCCTCCTGGCACAGGGCGCTCTGGAGCCGCTCGTAGGCCTGGGTGGCATCGTCGGGGTCCCCGCTGTCCCCGGGCACTTCGCCATCGGGGGCCTCGTCCTCCAGCCAGCCCGGGCACAGCGCCTCGGGCCCTGCCCACTCCTGCTCCTCCGGGCTGGGCACCCGCTCCGGGCTCGCCTGGGACATCGAGAGCTGCGGGAGCAGGGACAGGGCTGGCACGGGGCTGGCACGGGGGTAAGGGGGTGCTATGGGGCTGGCGTGGGGTTAAGGGGCTGTCACGGGGCTGTCACGGGTCCGGCGCAGAGCTGGCACACGGACGGAGCCCGGGTGGGCACGGGGCAGGCACCGGGGGGCTGGCACGGGGCACGGCGGGAGCCGCTGCCCACCCGTGGGGTGGGGGCGTGGGGGTGCTGGGGGGCTGCGGGCGCCGGGCACGGCGCCAGCGCCTCGAGGACAGCGGGGCAGCAGTGCCAGCCGCCGGGGCCGCCAGCTCCGGGACAAAGCGTCCCCTTGTCCCCGCGGGGTCACGCGGCGGGTGGGCACAGCACGCCGCGCTGCCCGCTGCCCCGCGCCAGTGCCCGGCACCGCCGGGATCCCGGGATGGGGCACCCACCTCCGCCCGGACCCCCCACCCGGGGGCCACTCACCATCCGGGTGACAGAGGGGCTGCAAGAGAAGGACAGGCAGAGTCAGCGCGGCTCCCCGGGGACATGCCACCCCTCCCCGGCCACCCCCGGCCGTGCTGGGAGCCCCAGCCCCGGCTCCCGTGGGGGGACGCGTCCTGCAGCACCCACCAGAGCCTGGCACGCTCCCTGGGGCACACGTCGGTGCCAGATCCGGTGTCTTCACGTTGTCCCCTCAGTGCTAGTCCCAGTGTCCCCAGACTGACCCCTCGGTGCCAGTCCCTGTGGCCCCAGCTTGTCCCCTCGTTGACAGGTCTGGTGGCCCCAGATTGACCCCTTGGTGCCAGTCACGGTGGCCTCAGGTTGTCCCCTCGGTGCCAGCCTCGGTGGCCCCGGCACCTCCGGCTTAGTGTAATCCCGTGCCAGCTCAGCACAGCCGGGGGCACCTCGGGGGTGCCAAGGTGCCTGGGGGTGCAGAGCCAAGGACCGGGGCGTCCCCACCCCCCCGGGTGCCCCCGCTCCCAGCAGGTGCCCGGCAGAGCTGGGCACAGAGGGAAACTGAGGCACGGAGCTGAGCGGTGCCCGCTGGCAGCCAGGGTGTCCCCAAGCCCGGTCCCCGGTGACAGCGTTAGGGGGGGACACACGGCTCGGTGGCGTGGCACGAGGACCCCCCAAAACCCAGTCGCGGGGGTCCCTCAAAGCCCGCGCCCGCCCCAGCCGCGGGACCGCCCTGTCCCCCCCCGTCCCCAGCTGGGAGGTGCTGCTGCTGCTGCTGTCCCCAGGCTGGGACAGCTGTGTCGCCCGGTACCTTGGGGTGGGAGCCGTGGCCTGAGAACGCGCAGGGGACGAGGGCTCGGGGACGCCTGGCGCAGGGGACACCGGCCGGTCTGGCCTTTAAACCCCCCCCGCGCCACCCCGGGGTGCCAACCCCGGCCCCGTGCCCCGGATTAGGCGACACAGAGCCCCATTGTCCCCTCTGCCACCTCGCGCCAGGCGCTGGCACCCCTGTCCGTGTCCCTGTCCCCGTCACAAGCGAGCTGCCTCAGCGGGAGCCGGGGGGTGGCTCAGCCTGACGGGGCTCTCCTGTCCCCCTGTCCCGCGTCCCCTGGCCGGGCACGCCCCTCGTCCTCCCCCCCGCCCTGTGCCCCTGTCCCCAGCGTGGCGGAGCTGCCAGCACGCACGTCCCCCGGCTTAGTTCCAGCTGCCCGCGGCGTCACTGTCACTGTCACCGTCACCGCCACCGGCAGGCACGGGGCCACCAGCGCGGCTGCCGCGCCGCAGAGTCCCGCACGCGCTGTCACCCGCTCCCTGTCACCCGCGCCACCCCCGCACCCTGCCACCCTCTCATTGTCACCTGGAATGTCACGTGCACCCTTGTCACCCACCACACGCCGTCACCGTCACCTGCACCATCACCGGGGTCTTGTCACCCGCACCTGTCACTCACATCGTCACCCACACCGCGACACCGCACCGGCACCCTGTCACCTGCACTGCCACCTGCATCTGTCACCCACCTGCATTTGCCACGCACATCACCTACCTGTCACCTGTGCCCTGCCACCCGCACCCTGTCACCCGCACTGCCACCCAGACCCCCCTAACCTGCACCGTGCCACCGCCCTGTCACCCGCGCTGTCGTGAACATCATCACCCACCTGTCACCTGCGCTGTCACCTGCACCGTGTCACAGGTGTGCGCACACCCCCCCGCCTCCATCCCGCTGCTCCCGTCCCCCCGGCACCGGCACCCCCAAACCCACCCACACCCCCCGCTGCCGCCAGCACCTACCGGCGGTGCCGGTGCCGGTGTCTGTCGGTGTCTGTCGGTGTCTGTCTGTCGGTGTCGGTCTCTCCTGGTGTTGCAGCACCTGGCGTGGCTCTGACCGCTCCGGTCCCGGCGGTGTCGGGCTCTGGCGGGGTTTCCCGGTGTCGGTCCCGGTGCTGTCGCAGCTCCAGCAGCGGCTCTGCCCGCTCCGGTCCCGGCGGTGGCGGCGGCGCCGTGTCCTGCTCGGACGGGGCGGGGCGGGGCGGGACCGGGGGCACCGGGGGGACCGGGACACCGGAGGGGGTGGCAGAGCGAAGGGGGCAGCGGGGCCGGGGTGCCACCGTCGGGAGACGGGAACAAGGGACTGGGGTAGGGAGCGGGACAAGGGACGGGGACGGGGGTAGGGGACGGGGCCAGCCCGGGGTCACCCGGGGCCGGCTGTAAAACTGACACCGCGGAGCAGAAATGTCAGGGCAGGCCCTGGGAGCTATTCGCGACCTCCCCGCACGACATGGAATGGGACACAGCGAATGGCATGGCGTGGCACGGCGTGGGCACAGCCAGTGAGGACAGGGGACAGCCATGACCCCATCCCTGCCACTGCCACCCTCCACGAGCGGTGGCACAAATGTGTCACCCTCCCCCGTGTCCCCAGTGGGAGCCCGCCCTTCGGGGTGTGATCAGGGACCTCAGGGTGGCAACAATCTCCCGGCAACCGCCCGGTGCTGCTCCCGACGGTGTCCCGGGGGCCCCCGGGTGGGGACATCCCTGGGCTCTGCCAAGCATCCTGTCCCCTCGCGTCCTCCCGTGTCCCCAGGCTGTCCCTGTGCTCCCAGGACCGGGATGCAGATCCCCGGTTGCCTCCGTGTCCACTCCTGTCCCCTCGCAGTCCCGGGAGCCGCTGTCTGTGCCGAGGCTGTTCCCCTCCCTCTCCCTCTCTAGCCCTGTGTCCCCAGGCCCAGGACACGGGTCCATATCCCCCTGTCCCCGTGTCCCCTTGCCCGAACTCTACCCCTTGCCCATCGTGTCCGCCTGCCCGGGTTGTTCGCTTGCCCGAGATGTCCCCTTTTCCAGGATGTCCCTTTTCTCGGGATGTCCTCTTTCCCGGGAAGTCCTCCGTTCCAGGGAAGTCCCTCTGCCCGGCACGTTCTCCGTTCCAGGGAAGGCTATCTGCCCGCGGTGTCCCCTTGCCCGGGATTATCCCGTTGCCGCGGTATCCCTTTTCCCGGGACGTTCCCCTTTCCAGGCATGTCCCTTTGCCCGGGATGTCCCTTTGCCCCGGGTGTCACCTTTCCCGGGATGTTCCCCTGCCCGGAATGTCCCCCTGCGAAGCGTGTCCCTTCTCCACGGCTGTCCCCCTGCCTCCGTAACACCGCCGTCGCCCCCCTGCCATGCTGTCCCCGTTTCCCGCCCCTCCGGGGCTGGGACGCCGGGGCCGAGGGGACAGCGGGACGCGGGGACAGCGGGACAGGAGGACAACGGGACACGAGGACAACGGGACACGGGGCAGCCGCGCTGCGCTGAGTCCTCCGGGCCATCGGGGGCGCCAGGCGCCCCGGGGCCGCTCTGGGCGGGCGCGCGGGGCGGGGCGGCGCGCGGGCGGCCATGGCGGACACCGAGAAGCTCAACCTCGACTCCATCATCAGCCGCCTCCTGGAGGGTGAGCGGCCCCCGCCGCCCCCCGAGCACCGGGGACGACCTCCCTCCGCTCGGGGAACCTCTCGGGGCCGGCTCGGGCCGCGTCCCGGCGCCGCGGGGGCGTCCCCGGCCTAGGCCTGGCGGGGGCGGGTTAGGCCGCGGTGGTTTGGGGGGGGGGGGGGTCAGGGCTGGGAAGGGTTTTGGGGGGGTCCCTGTGGGGTCTGCGGAGCTGGAGATGAGTCCGGAGGGCGTGGGGGATGTGAGGGGGGATCCCGAATGGGTCTGTGCCCCGCGGGAGGGGGCTGGAGGAAATGGGGGTCCCCAGAGGGTGTGTACCCCGTGGAGGGGGAACGGGAGGGGACGGGGGTGTCCCCAAGGGTCTGGGGGCTGGAGCTGAGCCTGGAGGGCTGGGAGGATACGGGCAGGGAGCTGGGGCGGGTAGAGCAGGGGTTCCTGGGGCACTCTGGGGGTCCCCGAGCTCTTGGGGATCCCTGATCCCGTTCTCTGCGCTGGGAGCAGTCCAAGGGTCGCGGCCGGGGAAGAACGTGCAGCTGACGGAGAACGAGATCCGCGGGCTGTGCCTCAAATCCCGGGAGATTTTCCTGAGCCAGCCCATCCTGCTGGAGCTGGAGGCACCCCTCAAGATCTGCGGTGAGGCCTGCGTGGCTGCTGGGCAGCACTGGGGTGGCGTGGGGGGCTGCAGGGTGCCACTCACGGCCTGTGTCCCCCCCAGGTGACATCCACGGGCAGTACTACGACCTCCTGAGGCTCTTTGAGTACGGGGGCTTCCCCCCTGAGAGCAATTACCTGTTTTTGGGGGACTACGTGGACCGGGGCAAGCAGTCTCTGGAGACCATCTGCCTGCTGCTCGCCTACAAGATCAAGTACCCCGAGAACTTCTTCCTGCTGCGGGGCAACCACGAGTGTGCCAGCATCAACCGCATCTATGGCTTCTATGACGAGTGTGAGTGCCTGGGCAGTGTCCCCCAAACCCCGCTGCCATCCCTGGGCTCCCCCTTTCCCGGTGTTGCGCCAGTGCTGTCCCACACTGGACCCACCTGTGGGCTCCTTCCCTCCCCGCCATGTCTTCCTGCCCTTCTTCCTCTGTGTCCTCCTGCCCTTCCATGTCCTGCCCACCCCCAGGCTGTCCCCAGGGTCACCTCCAAGCCCCCTTTGTCTCCCGCAGGCAAGCGAAGATACAACATCAAGCTCTGGAAGACCTTCACCGACTGCTTCAATTGTTTGCCCATTGCCGCCATCGTGGATGAGAAGATCTTCTGCTGCCACGGAGGTGGGAATGGCCCTTCCCAGGGATTTGGGCGGGCTGGAGGAGGGGTGGGATCTCCCTGCTGAGCTCTGGGGGTGCCCCTTTCCCGCAGGGCTGTCCCCAGACCTGCAGTCGATGGAGCAGATCCGGCGGATCATGCGGCCCACGGATGTCCCGGATCAGGGGCTGCTCTGTGACCTGCTCTGGTCCGACCCCGACAAGGACGTGCAGGGCTGGGGGGAGAACGACCGTGGGGTCTCCTTCACCTTCGGGGCCGAGGTGGTGGCCAAGTTCCTGCACAAGCACGACCTGGACCTCATCTGCCGGGCACACCAGGTACCAGCGGGACCCCCGGATACTGGGGACACGTGGGGTTGGGTCTCCAGTGGGTGCCAGCTGGTTCTACCCCGAGTATTTCCCCTTCAAGGGCAGTGTGTACCCCAGGAGTGTGTGGGGTGGAATTCTGGGGGTGTTTGCCCTCAGATTTGGGTATTTGCTCTGATGTCAAACTATTTGCCCAGGAGGGATGAATAGTCACCCTTGGATGTGGCTGTTCCTCCCAGAGGTTGGATAATCACTCTGGATGATGGATACCTGCCCTGGGGCAGTGGGTGTTTGTCCCAGGGTGGCCGTTCGCTGCAGGGCAGGGAGTGGCTCACCCTGGTAGAGAGAGCTGGAGATTCAGCCTGGGGCACTGGGAATTAGCCGGGGCAGGTGGATACTGGCCATGGGAGGTGGATTTTTGCCAACTCCGTGTGCCCCCCCCAGGTGGTGGAGGACGGCTACGAGTTCTTCGCCAAGCGCCAGCTCGTCACCCTCTTCTCGGCCCCCAACTACTGCGGCGAGTTCGACAACGCCGGCGCCATGATGAGCGTGGATGAGACCCTCATGTGCTCTTTCCAGGTGAGCCCAGGGAGGGGAAGCACCCCCAGTTCCTGCCGGGAGGGCTGCAGGGAGTTCTGCCCTCCAGGGGAGTGGAGAGCCAGGGCGGGAGCTCACTGATTTCTTTCCCCCTTCACCCGCAGATTTTGAAGCCGGCCGACAAGAACAAAGGCAAATACGGGCAGTTCAGCGGGCTGAACCCCGCCGGGCGCCCCGTCACCCCTCCCCGAAACTCTGCCAAAGCCAAGAAATGAGCTGGGAGCCGCCCCCGTGCTGCCCACGCCCCCCAGCCCCCCGCCCAAGCATCAGGTCGCTTTTCTTTCGACTCGTTTTTTTATTTGTAGGATCCTGCCCCCCCCCCGCCACGCTCCACCAAAGCAAATCCAGGCCCAGGGCAGGGAGTGCTGGGGCGAGGGGGGAGCCCAGAGCCCAGCCCTGGGGTGGCAGCGGAGGGGGGGGCAGGAGGATTTTTTGAGGAATAAACTTGTAATGGGTCACTGGGGGGTGCCTGTCCTGGTGGTTGGATGGAGGCTGGGGGTGGCAGTGACTCGGGGGCTCAGCTTTCTCCATCGCTGTCCTCCGCCAGCACCTCCTGGGTGGTGGCTGGATCAGGCCTTCCTGGTGTCATCACCGAGCCAAAAAACAGGGAGCGAAACTGTGGGGAGAAATGGGGGGTCAGGAGGAGGCTCTGCCCACCCCCTGCCCCCAGGCACACCCATCCCTCACCTTCTTGTGCGGGGGGGTCCCTGGCACAGCTCCTTCCTCCTCCTCCTCCTCCTCCTCCTCCTCCTCCTCCTGGGGTTTGCTCTTGGCTGGCTGGGGGGTACGCAGGGGGAAGGTGGGGCTGGGGGGCCCCTCTGAGCACCCCTCGCTGGTTTCCATGGCAGCCATGTAGGACTCCAGGTCGTCAGCGAAGTCGTCTGATGGGACAGGCAGGTGGGACACGCTGGTGGGGACAGAGAGGATTGGGAATGGGCACTCTGCTCCCTGCCCATGGCCGCTGGAGGGATCATCTGGGACTCACCCGTTGGTCGAAGGGGACTGGGAGCTGCTTTCTAGGTCAGAGAGGGTGGCCAGCACCAGGTGAACCTCCAGGACAGTGTCATCCAGGGTGAAGATCACCGGCCTGGGGACACAGGGGGGCTGAGGGGGTGCCAGGCACGGGGCTGGCACAGGGTGGGGATGTGGTGACCGCTCCTACCTTCCGGGCTCGTCAAAATGGATGGTGAGGGGCAGGTTGGAGGCCTCAGCAAAGCTCAGCAGGCCCTGGGGACAAAGGGGAGAGTGAGGGGGGCCAGGGAGTGACACAGGGCTGGGGGGCTTGGCTGGGGACTCACACGGAATTCCTTGAGGCAGAAGGTGATGTGGGAGCCCGGGGCCACGGCCACTGACTGGAACTCATCCTCAGCCAGCCACAGCTCCGTCACCATCGTCTTGCTCGGCTCTGGAGGGGGAAACGGGGTGGGTGGGGGGCTGGAGGGCACCCCGAGGTGGGGAGGGGTCCCCTTACCCTGCAGGACTCACCTGCCTCATCCTCCACGTAGTTCCGCAGGCTGATTTTGCCACCGGTACCAGTCCCCAGTGTCACCTCGGCCAGCGTCGGGGGAAAGTGCACCACGGCCTCTGCCAGCAGCCTGAGGGGCACAGGAGGGGGCTGAGCACCCCAAATCCTGCGGGGCCGGCCGTGTTCCCTCCCTTCTATCCGCGCCCATTCCCCCAGTGCCACCCCCGTGGTGTCCCCCTCACTCACCGTGCCGGGGCGCAGAGGCGGCTGGCACAGCGCTGCGTGTCGAACACGGCCTGCAGCCGCTCGCACTCCTGGAAGGCCAGGTTGTGTGTCTTGGTGACACCTGGTGGCAGAGGGGACAGCGGCTCAGCAGGGCAGGAGGCGGTGCCAGCAGGTCCCCGCTGTGCCTGTCCCCGCCGGTACTCACCGTGCTTGCAGTGGAGCTGCAGGACCAGGCGGCTGGCACGGGGCTTGAGCAGCATAAGGCATTTCCCCACCGACTTCTCCAGCGAGGGCAGCGAGCGGAAGACGCCCAGGAAGGACTGTGGGGATAGATAGGGGGACTGTCACCTGCCTGGGACCCCGGAACAACGAGGAGTTCTCGGGGGGGCCCGGGCAGGGCACTGCACCTTCATGTGGACTTTGCATCGGAAGAGCTCGGTGTCGGGCCCGGCGCTGCCCGGCTCGTACAGCTGGAAGAACAGGGGTGCGAAGAGGAAGGCGGCGAAGGCAGAACGGGAGGAGTTGACAGCACGGAGGGACAGCTGGGGACACAGCCACAGTGTTGGCACTGCCCGCACGGAGGGAGGGGGGCACAGCTGCCCCCCAGCTCCCAGCCAGCCCCCCGGTGCTGCATACCCCACTCTCGGTGGGCTCCAGGTAGAGCTCGTCGCCGATGCGGGACAGGGAGTGCACGGCCCGGCCGAGGACTGGGAAGGAGAGGGTGCGGGGGTGAGGCCGGGCTCCCGGGCACGCCGCGCTCCCCGGGCCCCCAGCCCCGCTCACCTTTGACGTTGCCGCCGGCGATCACACATTTCATGGCACCGGCACCGGGACCGGCACCGGGCGGGCACGTGGGGCCTTCGCGCCCGCCCCCGGGCCCCGCCCCCGCCCGCAGACCACGCCCCTCCGCGGAGCGTGCGGGCTAGGCCACGCCCCCAGCGGGCTGCGCTCGGCCTGGCCGCTCCCCCCGCCGCGCTGGTTGTTCCGTCCCCGCCCCGCCGGTGCCGTCTCTCCGCAGCGGCCCCGCAGCGGTGCCCCCCAGCCCCCCTGCCCCGTCCCTAGCCGGCGGTTCCGGCCTCTTCCCCGCCGCGCCCCGCCGGTGCCTTCCCGGCTTCCCGCGCCCGCCCTCCCAGGCCGCCTCCCCATTGGCCGGGGGCGCCGCTCCGTCCCGCCCCCGCCGCCAGCCGATTGGTCCACGCTGAGGGGGCGCGTGACGGCACGGCGCGAGGGCCTCACGTGACCGGCGGGAGGGGCGGTAAGTCCCGCCGGTAAACCCCGCCGGTAAGCCCCGCCTTCCACAGTGCGCTATTGGGCGTCGGTTGGAGCGACGTGCGGCTCAGCCAATGGGGCTTCGACGCGCCCCTCAGCGCGGCTCCCGGCGCTCAGCCCCGCACCGGGTCCTTCCCGGGGCCTCCTGACCCGTCCTGGGGCTCTGCCGGGGTCGTTCCCCGGTGCTTGTGCCTCCCAGCACCCTGACCCTCCCTTCATTCCCGGCAGCATCCCGGGCGAAGCTGCCCTTCCACCGCACTGCCCGCACCTCCCGGTCCCTTTGCCGCTTCCCGCATTCCCGGGGCACGGTGCTCCCCAGGAAGGGCTGCAACTCCCTGGAGCTGCTCCGGTGCTTCCCGAGATCCCGGTGTCTTGGGAATCCCTGTCTCCCAGGATAGGGAATTTGGGGATCCCTATCTCCACTTCCACAGGGGAAGAGCAATGCTGTAAGTTAGTGCTCAAGGGTCTCTCTCCATGCTGGAGGTGCTGCCGGCTGGGCATCCCATGTAATCATGGAATGGCTGGGCTTGGAAGGGACTTTGAAGCTCATCCAGTTCCATCCCCTGCCATGGGCAGAGACACCATTCACTAGACCAAGTTGCTCCAAGCCCCATTCAACTCTTCCAGGGAGGGATTTTTGGGGTGTGCCAGAATTCTCCAGTGGGGGGTACACTGTAAATTCTGGGCTAGCCAGGTGTATCCATGGGTGGTCCACAGAATCCCAGAATGGTCAGGGTTGGAAGGGACCTTAAAACCCACCTCATCCCACCCCCCTGCCATGGGCAGGAACATTTCCCACGGGCCCAGTTGCTCCCGTGTGTCCATGAGCCCTTGTGGGGATGTGACACTGGCTCGGGGATGTGACACTGGCTCAGGGATGTGACACTGCCCCGGGGATGTGACACTGGCTCAGGGATGTGACACTGGCCCGGGCAGCAGCCTGTGCTCGCAGCCAGCCCGGAGCAGCAGGCTCTGGAGCCGTGGCCTCGAGGGAGCGGGGGGATGTGGCTGTGAGGAACTCGAGTCGTGCTCACAGCAGGGTCCCCCCGCCGGCTCCCGCCTGCCGCTGGAGCAGCCGCTCCCCCCGTCCCTCCTCCCGGCCCCGGTGGCCCCGGAGCCTGAGCCAAGGGGCCCCGCTGCAGAGCAGGGCTGGCACCTGAGCAGGGGAAACGGGAAGGGCATTGCAGAGCCCTTGTCCCATGGCTGCCGTCCTCCAGGGCATGGTGACAGCCTCTCCTCCTCCTCCTTTCCCTGGCTGGAGTGCTCCATGCCTTTTATCCGGGATTTGTAGGTACAGGTACAGGAGCTGCTGGCCCTGCTGGGGCTCCGTGGCCCAGCCACGTGTAGGGGCTGTGCTGGGACAGCCAGCACGGAGCCCCAGGGACTCCAGGCCTGCCTTGGCCTGGGCTCGGGCTGCAGCCGGATCTGGCTCCTCCACCCCTGGGGTGAGCACTGGCTGCTCCTCTTCCTCCCAGGAGGAGGAGGAGGAGGAGGAGGAAGGGATTGTGTGGGAGCCTCCGTTCCAGCTCTGGCAGAGCAGCCGGGCTCCACTGGAGCCGCCGTCCCCAGGAGGGGCTCTGGCCTCGGGGCTCGGCGTTTTATGGGGCTGCGGAGAGGACGCAGCTGGCTGCGGTCGTGACACACACACCTCAGCGGGGGCCAGCGCCGGGCCACCCCTCTCTCTCCCAGGGAACGGGCTGGATGCGGGCCGGGAGCAGGAGCCTGGCAGCCCTCGGGGGGCTCCGCGCCCAGGGCTCCCCCTGGGGCCGGGCAGTTCACCCGAGGATGGCGGGGAAGGTGACAGCGCTGTTCCCTCGCACCCGGCGGGCTCGGGGCCGAGTCCCAGCTCCTTCCCGCTCCTCCGGCTCCCTTCCCGGCACATGGCACGGCGCCCTCGCCCGGGCAGCGGCTCGGCGAGACAGACGGCCACAGCTGGGCTGCCGCTGCCAGCCCGGCAGGAGGGGACACGCCGAGCCGGATGGCTGCTCCGTGCCCCTGCCTGCGCCCCAGGGCTGTCCCCAAGGAGCCGGGCGCTGCCCGAGCCGAGCCGCCGCTCTGGGGCTGCAGCCGGGATTTCTGGGTTCGGGCAGCCCCCGTCCCTCCCTCCCTGCCTTCCTCCCTCCCCCGGCTGCCGGCCGCAAAGGGCAGCAGTGGGAGGCCGGGGCTGGAGGTGAGCTCAGCTGCCCGGTGACGGGGCCGGAGGGCAGGGCGGGCACGGCCTCACCCACTCCGGGCGAGGAGGAGGAGGAGGAACAGGATGTGAGGATGAAGCTTCCCAGCGGCTTGACCTGCCCGTGCCCTGTGCCCGCTTTGTCCTGGGGCGGGGGCTCCCTCCTGGCACCGCTGGCTGGCACAGGGAGAGCGGCTCGGGAGCTGCGTCTGCCGGGCCGCGTCTCCCTCCTCCTCCTCCTCCTCTCCTGTCTCAGGTGCTGGCCCAGCGGGAGCCGTGGCAGCCGGAAAACCCCCCAGACCCAAGCGCAGCGCTGGGTTTTGGGGAGGGGAGAAGGCAGCGAGGGGCAGCCCCGCCGCCTCGGCCGGCTGGAGACCCCCGGGGACGGGCCGGCGGCTTTTCCCAACTGCTCCAGCGCTGCTGGCGGGATCTGCTGGCTCGGGGGGGAAACCAGATACCCTGCCCTGCGGCTGGGGGGGCGAGGGGCCGGCCCCACGCCGAGCGGACCCCCCCAGACACGCTGCCGGGGAGCCGGGCCGGGGCTCCCTCCAGCCGCGGATCCTTTGGGCAGCTCCGTCCGGCACCTCCGCAGCCCCTCCGGATCCCCAGGGCTGCGGAGCGTCCCCCATTCACCCCGGGGAGGGGATCCAGAGCCCCCCTCGTCACCCCTGACATGTCTGTTGGGCGCGTCCTCACGCATTCAACACCAAATCCGCACTTCCCGAGCAATAAATCAGCCAGCAGCGCGTCCGTGTGTGGTTTGTCCCTACGGGGGGTCCCCAAACTGCTGCTAATGACTTCAGCACCCAGTGTCGCGGTGGGTTTGGAAAAAGAGGGTCCTGCTGTGCACCCCGCGTCCCGCAGAAGGACGGGAGGATGCGATGGCAGCCGAGAGGGCTCGGACCTGGCCAGGGCCGGGGTCTGGAGTGGAAGCGAATCCGCCTGTTACCTCCCGGCCCTTCCCGGCGCTCCCAGCGCCTTTGTTTTAAACAAAGCTTTTTTTGGGGGGAGCCAGGACGTTCCTCTCCCCGCCGAGAGAGCCCCCGCGGCAGCACCCACTCATGGATGAGGGACACGAGGGGAAGGGACGAGGGGCTCTGGCTGTCGGGTTGCCCCCCTCCCCTCCGGCGGCGGCTCCGCTTGGCCCTGGGGGTCTCCCCACGCCCCCCCAGCCCACCCCACTCACCCCCGGTGGGCTGCGGGGAACGCCGCGGTCATTGCCAAGGGCCCCGCGGGCGCCGGGACGGGGATTGTCCTAACGGGGGAGGATAATCGGGAAGAAAGCGGCTCTGGCACCCGGAGGAAAGGGGCTGGGGGGGTCCCTCCCCGTCCCCGCGTGGGCCGGGGGCGCCGGGAGAAGCGAAGCCCCCCCTCGGGACGGAGGGTCCCCCGGGGCTGGGCCGCCGCCGCCGCTCCGGGGGGCTCCGGTTGTGCCGCCGGGACCCCACCGCGCGCCCCCCGCTCCGCCGCTCACCTGCCGCCGTCCCGGCGGGGCAGCGCCCGCCGCGCTGCGGGTCCCCGAGCCGGGGGGGGTCCGCGGGCCCCGGACCCCCTCTCTCGGCCGGAGGGGAGGGGGCTGGCCGTGCCAGCGAAGAGCCGAGGACCCCCCCCCCCCCCTCCCCGCCCCGCCGCCGCCACCCTTCCCGCACCGGCCGGCCCCATCCCTCCGCCACTCCTCCCCGCTGCCCCGGGGGGGGAAGGAAGGGGGGGCAGGCTGGCACCCCACGCCCCCCCCGGCCCCGCCAGAGGAGCCGCTCCGCCGCACCTCGTCCCGTCCCCCCCCGTCCTCCCCTCCCCGGACCCCCCCCTCCGTCCCGTCCCCCCCGTGCTCCCCCCGGGACCGGGCTCTCGGCTCTGTGCGCGGGGAGGAGGAGAGGCGAGAGGGCTCGGAGCGGCAAATGGGAGCCGCAGTCCCGGGCCGGTGTGCGGGACCGCTGCCTGCCCGCCCGGGGAGCCCAGAGCACGCACGCAGCGCCCCGGCCCCGCGCCCGTCCCGCATGGAGCTGAGAGCAGGTAGGAGACCCCCCCGCCGAGCGGCACCGGCCCCGCACCGGCCCCGCACCGGCCCCGCCGCTGCCACTTTAACAAAAGCCGGGCGGGAGCCAGAAGCGCACGGGGGGCGCAGCCAGGGAGAAAGCGGGGGTCCCCCCTTCCTACCCGGCCAGCGGCACCCCGGGGGACCCCCCTCTTCCCTTCCCTTCCCTTCCCTTCCCTCCGCCTTCCGCAGCCTCGGGGCTCGGCTCCAGCCTCCCCACCTCTGCCCGGTGCCGGGACCCCGGGGATGGGGATGGGGAAAGGGGGGGTAAAGCCGGGGCCGGGGGGAGAGGGAGGGAATGAATGGAGCCCGCTCTTGTGTACAATTGCATCAAATACATTCTTGAAAGCAACCTGGTTCTGCTTAACACTTGAATTGGGAAAAAAAAAAAAAAAAAGAGGAAAGAAGGAGGCAGCAGCTTGGAGAGGGTGGATGCGAGCTCCAGTTTTTTTTTTTTTTTCCTTTTTCTTTTTTTTTTTTTTTTATTCCTGCATTCCTGGACCCCAATCAAAAGAGCAAATCAAGGGAGGTGGAAGGGGGGAACGGCGGCGAGCGAGGCAGCCGGAGCGCGGTGCGAACCCTCCACACCCCAAAAACCCACCCAACCCGCCCCGGTTTTTTTTTTTTTTTTTCCCACCTAACACCCGAGCGAGCCCAAACCAAAACAAATAGAGACCGAGGGAAAAAAAAAAAAAAAAGAAAGAAAAAAAAGAAAGAAAGAAAAAAAAAGAAAGACAGAAACCAACCCAAAAAAAAAAAACCAAAACCAAAAAAAAACCACCACCCAACCCTGAGCGCGAGTGAAGCAGCGAGCCAGGGCTGAGGCGAGCGGGCGGGCTCGGGGAGCCGAGCAAGAGCCGAGCCCCCCAAAATCCCCCTGCACCCCGACTATGCTAAATGTAACCGGGGAGCTCTCAGGTAAGCCCGCGGCGCTGGGTGCGGGGCGGGGGGCTGCCCCAACTCCCCTGCCTGCATCTGCCGGGAGTTTCTCCCCCTTTCCAAACCGACTGCTGATTTTAATTTGATGTGATTAAAACGTCTGTCTGGCTTTGGGATTGATTTAAGACTTTCCCCTCTCTAGGTTGGGTTGTTGGTTTTTTTTTTTGTTTTTTTTTTTTTTTTTTCCCCCTTTCTCTCGTTCCCTCTTTTCCATGCATGTTTGTGATTACCAGGGAGGGAACCGCCGCTGAGCACGGAGAATTAAACCCCGGGACCGACAGAGGGGAGGAAAAGGAAAGTCGGTGGGATTTATGGGGGGCTGGAAGAGTTAGTTTTCCTGCCCGGGGCTGGATTTCGGGGCTTGACACGGAACGCCGCCGCTGGAGCCGGCGTCGTTCCTGCGGCACACAGCAGCGGGGTTTTGGGGTGCTGGCGAGCGGACGGCTTTGTTCCCTCGGCCCCAGCGGCCACCGGCACCCCCGGCGCTGCTGCGGGGCCGGCCGGCCTGGCGGCACACCGGCACCGGGGGCTCCTCGCCCGGAAAATGCTGGAAAACACCCTTAAAAGGTCAAAGTGTGGGCGCCGCCAGGCTCCCCGGGGTCCCGGGCGGCGGGACCGGGGCCGGGGCAGCACGAGGCCGGCGCCGGGTTCGGCTCCAGCTCCCGCGGTGCCGCCGTGACGCAGGACGGGCACAGCGGGGCGAGCGCCGGGGAACCGGAAAAGCGAGGCCGGGATCCCCGGCGGCTCCATCGCCCTCCCTCGCCCCTTCCTCTCCCCCTTCCCGCCGCCGCCGGGCCCGGCGGACGTGGCCGAACCGGTGGCACGGCCGGTGCCGAGGCCTGCGGGGACGGGCGGGGACGGGGACGCCGAGGAGGAGCCGCGGCGCTGGAGCTCGGCCGCCGGGACCCCGTTCCCGTTCCGGGACATCCCCGGCCGGGCGGTGTCCCCGGCAGGGCTCGGGGACTCTCGGCATCCCCGCTGTCCCTATTTAGCGGGCGGTGCGAGGGCACGGTGGCGGCCGCACATCTGGGCTGCATTAGGCGCAGGCTCCGCAGGGAAATGCGGAGGGCTCTGCTTACAGGGCCGCGCTGGGGGGAGATTTATGCCCTGCTAAGTGGCACCGAGCCCCATAAATCATCGCCCCGCACCCCCCGGGGCTGCAGCGCCAGGGTCCCGGTGCCACCGTGCCAGCACCACCGTCCCAGCGTGGCGGCAGGCTGGTGGGGATGCGCTCCTGGATGGGATATCTGGGATATCTGGGATATCTGGGATATCTGGGATATCTGGGAAGCAGCTGGCCCGGCAGTGCTGTGGCTGCATGTGGCACGTGTCCTGTGGGTGACAGAGGCGTCCCAGGCCTCAGCAGGGTGCTGTGGGGACATCAGGGCATGGCCGTGCCCACCAGAGCTGCTGGTCCCACGCCGTGGCTCGGCGGTGTCCCCGTGGCCAGCGATGCCAGCGGGTCTGGAGGTGCCGGGGCGTGTCACCCACGGCTCCGCGGTGCCACCAGGGCTGGCACCGGGGGTCCCCTGCCCCGCTGCAGAGTGGCCAGCTTGGCTCTGTGCTGGTGAGCCCCCAGAACGCTCCTGGAAGGGCTCGGTGGCTCCGTGACCTGCTCCAGGAGCGGCGGGAAGGGATGGAGGTGCCTCGCGAGGCTCCCGGGCGTGCGTGTGGGGCAGCGGGGTCTGGTTGGGATTAGGGGCCTGCGCCCCCCTCGCCGGCGGGGGTGTTTCCATGGTGCCGCTGGCTGGAGCCGGAGCTGGATGGGAAATCCAGGCCCAGCTAATTACGGCCTCGCTGGAGTCTCCCGTGCGCGGCCGCATTTATAAACACACGGAGGAGACAGGATGTAAACACTCAGCGCCGCGAGCGAGCGCAGGCACGGCCCGCACCGGGGGGGACGCGGGGCCATGAGCCCCCACGCCACCACCCACCCCTGGCATGGCAGCTTTGCCACGGCATGGGATGGATGGGATGGGATGGATGGGATGGAGTGCGGTAGAATGGGATGGATGGGATGGGGACCCTGCAGTGGTGGCCGTGGGTGCTGTTGGGGAGCAAGGGCGCACATGTTCTTCCTGTTGGACCTTGGGGAATGCTGTGTCTGTGGTATATGGGTGTGGAAGGTGAGCATCCCCGTGTCCCCACCGTGCCAGCTCCACAGGGACGCTGCTGTGCTGTGGTGTCACCTCCCCAGACAAAGCGGGGTTAAATGCCAGCAGTGTGGGGACACAGAGGCGGCTGTCCATGAGCCCTTGAGCGTCACCCACTCCAGGCCCCTCGGAGCTGGAGGCCACACTGGACTGGGAAACGCCCCGTGAGGGGTTAAGCGGTGCCCATTGGTGGCCAGGACAGTGGCTGGGGTAGCGGGGACAGGGCTGCTTTGTCCTCTGTGCCACAGTCATGCCTGGCCACGGCGAGACCTCCCGTGCTGGCCCCAGGAGCGGGGCTGCGGGGTGGGACGGGGCTCTGTCGGCCGCTGGACGCCGGCCCATCAGATAGGGCAGCTCCCGCCGCGGCGTCGGGGGCCGGCTCGGCCCCGTCCTCTGCCGGGGGCTCCGGGGCCGGGGGGTCTCCCCTTCCCGGCTGCCGCCCCCGCCACCAGCCTTTCGGGAAAGCGGCTCTGGGCGGGCTGTGGTCGCTCAGCCCTCGGCGGCTCTGCCCACAGCATGCCCAGGGAACAGCTCACCGTCTCCGTGGCCGAATTCCTGCCTCGGCCGCTGGCCGGGAGGTCTGGCCAGCGCTGCTGCCTGCGCTGCTGGTTGGGTGGCAGGCCAGGGGTCCCGGGTGTCACCCCAAAGGGGGCGAGCCACGTCCCTGCTGCCACGTGTGCGGTGGGCGTCCGTGGCAGCACCGGTGTGTCCGGGTGGGTGCGCCGGCAGAGCAGGGGGTGCCCGCTGCCCTGGCCCCCCATCACCCCGGCTCCTCGGGTGTCCCCAGGGCCCAGCGGGTGACCCCGGGCAGGCACGCCATGAGCTGCTTACGTGGGCTGGGAGCATCCTGGCCGCGCTCCAGGGCCGGTTTTGAAACCCTCGGGCTCTTCCTCTCCGACGTCACCGGGATCCAGCTGTGCCGGCTGGAGCCTCCCTCCTCCACTGTCTGTGCCGGTGGGTGCCCGGCGCCAGCCGCGGGGACACGGGTAGGCAGGGGACAGCGGGGGCACCCGCTGTGGCTGGGCCATTGTCACTGCTGTGCCACTGTCACCGTCAGTGCTGTGCCCCAGTCACTGTCACTGCTGTGTCATGGTCACCCTCATTACTGTGCAGTGTCACTGTCACTGCTGTGTCATGGCTACTGTCTCAGCTGTGCCCCAGTCACTGTCATTGCTGTGACCATCGTCACTGTGTCATGGTCACCGCTGCCCAGCGCCATCCATTCTCTGCATCCCACCATTCCCATCCCTCAGACACCCACCTCCATCCCCTTCCTTCATCATCCTCATCCTCATCCTCGTGTCCAGGCCACCTGCCCGGGATCCACCGTGGCTCCATCCCAATCTCCCATCCCTGCCGTCCCTCCCCATCCCGCTCCCCGGCTGTGTTTGGTTTGGCACTGGCCAGGCCGGGGCGGGTGTAAATCCCGCCTGGAAACCGGAGCCGGCGGCGGGCGAGGGTCCGGCCAAAGCAAACACCGGGGGGGGGGGTTCTGTGTGCTGTGAGTCACCGCGGCCCCCCCGCCGCCCCCCCCGGCCCACGCTCGCACGCACGGGGAGCCGGCCGCACGCTCCGTGCACCGGGAGGCACCGGGAGGCACCAGGAGGCACCGGGACACACCGGGATGCATGACCAGGGGACACGGGGGCACGTGGCGCCATGTGGGGTGTCACAGCGCAGTGAGGTGTGGTGTGTGCACGGCGTGTCACACGTGGGGGGCACCTAACGGAGTGTCCCCCCCGATGGGGTATGTGCACAGCACCTTGCACGCTCGCCTGGCATGTCCCGTGAGTGCCACACGTGTCACACGCCCCTGTGGGAGGTGACACGCCTGGGTGGTGTCTCATGCGTGTGGTGCTCAGTGTCACACTGCTTGGTGTCACACGCCTGGAAAGTGCCGTGTTCCCCACGCCTGTGTGATGCAGACACACAAGGTGCATCCCAGGTGTGCCCTGGACGTGTCCCAGAGGTGTCACAAGTGTCCTGCACACCCACGGGGTGCCTCCCAGGTGTGACAGTGTCCTGCACACCTCCGGGGTGCCTCCCAGCTGTGACAGTGCCCTGCACACCCACGGGGCACTCGCATCCCCCACAGCGAGCCTTGCAGCTTGCAGGACACCCACGGCGGTGATGCTGTTGTGGCCGGAGCCGGGGTGTCCCCGAGGGCCGCCGTGCGTCACGGGCGGCCGGTGACGGCGAGCGGTGACGCGCGGGGGCGCGGGGGGCTGCCCGCAGCAGGAGCCCCGCCGTGCCGAGCCGTGCCAGCGGCCGGGCTTTCCCGGGCGGCGCTGCCGGGAAGGCCGGCTGTGGCGAGCCGGGGGTGCCAGCTGGCCGGAGCGTCCTGGCCGCGGGCCGTGACCTTTGCAGAGCCGCCGGCCGGCGGGGCCGCGCTCCGGGGCCGCCCTGACGTCAGGCCGATGATGACGGGGACCCCGCCGGCGCTTTCCGGTGCCTCCGCAAAGGTCACCCCGCGCCCCGGCCGCTCCTCGGAGCCGCTTCCCACCGCCCTCCCCCCCGTATTCCCGGTGGCCCCTCGGCGGGGGTCCCCGCTGGGTGCCCGGGCCGCTCCGGCGTTGGCGGTGCCCAAATATATCCCAGGCGTGTGTCCCGGCGGGAATGCCGCGGCCGCGCTGCTCCAGACCATATAAAGGATTGTTGGTGCAGCCGCGGGCGGGAGCGCTCCGAGGGGAGCCGGGGGGTCACCGCGCTGAAGTGGGGGGTTCCTGCTACTCCGGGGGGCTGCTGAGGTGAGGGGGACCCCACCCTCCCCACCTCCGTGTCTCGGTTTCCCCGTGCTCAGACGGGTGACTCAGGGATACTCTGCAGGCTCAGCGCCGCACACACGGAGACGGAGTGTCCCTGTCACCCCCCCTGAGGTGCTGTGTGTCCCCCACAGGTGACTCTTGGGGGATCTTCACCTTCCTGTGCGCCGCGCTTTGCAACCTGCCGGCGCTGCCGGCGCTGAACTGCTCCGAGGAGCTGGGCGCCGGCCAGTCCATCCAGCAGACGTACGACCTGACCCGCTACCTGGAGCACCAGCTCCGCACCCTCGCCGGCACCTACGTGAGTCCCCGACCCGGCACCCCCCGGGATATCCACCCCGTGCCCAGCTGCTCCCACGCCGGAGGGTGCGGAAATGCCTCATCGCCCCCGGGGCGCAGGGCGGCTCCCGGGCACCCTCCCCTCGGCCCGTGATTCCGTCATGGGCGCGGGCATCCGCCTCTCCCTCCCCGCCGGCGTCGCCGACTCACCCGGAGGTTCCCCGTCCCTGCCCTGACGTGCCCTCGGCGGGGCCGGCACGTTCGGTGCCAAGCGGTGACGGTGGCACCGCCCGGGCCGTGCTGGAGCCTCCGGCTCGGGCAGGGCGCGAGGGGGGATGCGGCAGGAGAAGGGAGAGCCGGGATGAGCGGGATGAGCGGGACGTGGAGCACGGGCACGGGGCGGATTTGTATCCCTGACCCCTGGCACCCCCATTCCCTTCCAGCTGAACTACCTGGGCCCCCCCTTCAATGAGCCTGACTTCAACCCGCCGCGGCTGGTGCGCGCCGAGCCACGCGTGCCCAGCGCCACCGTGGACCTGGACCTGTGGCGGGGCCTGACGGACAACGCGCGCCTGGCCGCCAACTACCGGGCCTACAGCCGCCTGCTCTGCTACCTGCGGGTGCTGGACGGGCAGGTGGGCACGGCCGAGCTGCGCCACCGCCTCGCCCATTTCTGCGCCAGCCTGCAGGGGCTGGTGCTCAGCATCGGCGGCGTCATGTCCTCACTGGGGTACCCGCTGCCCGCCGGGCCCGCCGCGCCCCCCGCCGGGCCCCCCGGCGCGCCCGCTGCCCCCAATGACTTCCTGAAGAAGATGGATGATTTCTGGCTGCTGAAGGAGCTGCAGACCTGGCTCTGGCGCTCGGCCAAGGACTTCAACCGCCTCAAGAAGAAGGTGCCGCCCGCTGTGGTCACCCTGCGGCTGGAGGCGAGGGGGTTCTGAGCACCTGCTGGGCTCACGAGTCCACAGCGCCACCACGGCCACGCAGGTCCCCTCTTCCACCACCCGTGTGCCTTGAGAAATGGGGCTCCTGACCCCCAAAGCACCCCACAACCTCATCATCACCTGGCAGTGCCTTGAAAGATGGGGCTCCTGACATCACGTGTCACCACAGCCACCCTGCAGCCCCTCCGTCATCATCGTCATCATCATACTGTGCCTTAAGGAACAGGGCTCCTGACCCCAAGTGCCACCATGGCCACCCCATGTTCCCTGTCCTCCACCAGTGTGCTTTGAGAAATAGGGTTTCTGACTCCTAAGTGCCACCACAGCCACCTCACACTCCCACTTTCACCACGGTGCCTTAAGTGAGGGGCTCCTGACCCCAAGTGCCACTCACCACAGCCACCTCACATCCCCTCTGTCACCACACTCTGCTGTATGGGATGCGTCTCCTGACCCCAAGTGCCACCAAAGCCACTCCATGTCCCCTTTTCGCAACCAGCGTCCCTTCAAAACTGTCTCCTGACCCCGGAGTGCTGCCAAAGCCACCCCACATCCTTATCATCACCGAGCTGTGCCTTATGGGCACAGTTCCTCACCCCAAAGTGCCACCACAGTCACCCTGCAGCCCCTCCGTCACTATGTTGTGTCTTAAGGGACAGGTGTCCTGACTCCCGAGTGCTCCTCCATGGTGTCCCCAACCCCCAGGGTGCCTGTCCCCATCCCTAAAATCTCCAGAGGGGGTGAAAACCCCGCCCATCCCAAAAAGGACCAACGCCCTCTGAGCATAGGAATAAGCCCCGCCCCAGCCAGCAGAAAGCCACGCCCCCGGAGCAATAGGCTCCGCCCCAGACGGCAATAAGCCCCGCCCACTCTCCTGTGTAGCAAGCCCCGCCTCCTCCCCGCATCAGGCCCCGCCCCTCACCCAAGCCCCGCCTCCCCATGGTTGCCCATCGATGGGCGGTGGGGCGAGGCCGTGGGGCGCGGCCGCTGTCCCGGTGCGTCTATGAGTGTTTATTTATTGGAGATGTTTATTTATTGGGGTATTTATTGCAGAAGATCTATTCTTGTATGAACGAATAAAAGCCTTTCTCCAGCCCCCCGCCTCTCCCGTGCCGCACGCCGGTAACGGCTTCGTGTGGAATTTGGGCTCTTCCCCGTCAGTGCCATCAGTAGGGATCAGAGTGAAGGGCTCCAAGCCGAGCTCGGGGTGGGGATTGAGGTGTTCCCCTCTCTCACAGGGTGGGGATCCAGGTAACCCCACCCCGAGGACAGGCACACCCCCCACCATGGCACCCCCTCCCTGGGCACTACTTGAGGGTGCCCAGGATCATGTGGAATGTTCCGGGCTGCGGCACGAAGCCGATGGCTTGCAGGGCGTGCAGCGAGGCCGTGTTGTGGGGCAGCACGGCGCAGTAGATGGGGAAGCGGCGGGCGTGCAGTTCCCGGCCCAGCGCGGCCATCAGGAGCCCGGTGAGGCCGCGGCCGCGCCAGGCGGGCACCGTGTAGCCGTGACGCAGGCAGCCCTGCCCGTCCAGCAGGCTCCAGGACACCGGGCGGCCCCGCGGGCCCAGCAGGCAGGCGGAGGGCAGCGCCCGCAGCAGCCCCAGCAGGAACGCCCGGCTGCGGGCATTGCCCCCCAGCGCCCACGTGGCGTTGAGCAGAGCGATGTGGGATGGGGACACCGGCGCCAGGCGCAGGCCCGGGGGCATCCTGCAACAGGGCACGGCAGAGGGGGGAATGCTGAACGCTGGCTCCAGCCGGGATGGCTGATGGGGTGGGACTGGGAACCCCTGTGCCACCCAGGGATGGAATATGGGACCCTTATACCACCCAGGAGTGGGATTGGAAACCCCTGTGTCACCCAGGGATGTAACATGGGACCCTTATACTACCCAGGACTGGGATTGGGAACCTCTGTGCCACCCAGGGATGGAATATGAGAGCCTTGTTTCCCCTAGGGATGGGACTGGGAACCTCTGTGCCACCCAGGGGTGGAATATGGGACCCTTATACCACCCAGGAGTGGGATTGGGAACCTCTGTGCCACCCAGGGATGGAATCTGGGACCCTCATACTACCTAGGAATGGGACTGGGGACCCCTGTGCCACCCAGGGGTGTTCTCAGTGATCCCACTCATGTCTCCCTGTGCCTGTCAGGGATGTGCTTGGGGACTGCTGTGCCACCAAGGGAGGTGACTATGACCCCCCTGTGCTACCCAGAAGCGTGACAGGTCTCCATGTGCCACCCAGGGATGTGACTGATCTCTCAGTGCCCATGTGCCCCCAGTGTCCCATGTCCCCCCAGTGTCCCCTGGCCCCCCGTGCCCCTCACTCACTGCCTGCGGGGCTGGGGGGGCTCGGGGCTCATCAGTGCCCGGAACCGGATCGTCTCCACCTTCAGCCCCCTGGCACTGGCCACCTCCTGCACGGCCTGGTCCAGCCCGTCCTGCATCCCTGGGACACCCTGTCAGCCAGACAGGGGACCCAGATGGAGGGTAGAGGAGCCCTGTGTCCTCCCAGTGCTATCCTTACCCAGAATCTGGAAGGCTCTTTCCCCGGTGACTGCCTCAGTGCCCTCCAGCAGTGCCTGCAGGGCTCCCTTGTCCCGGTAGAACACGGCCAGCTGGTTGGTGTAGTGGTCCCTGGGGTCCCTGTGCTCCTGGGAAGGACATGGAGCTGAGGGTGGCACCCCAGTTCCCAGGACCCTGGGGTGTGGGGTGCTGCTGCCAGGGCAGGGGCAGCACCCGGGGCAGCACCTCTGGGCGCAGGCGGGTCAGGACAATGCTGAAATTGGGCCAGGAGTCCACCAGCACCTCATGACAGACTGGGTTCCCCCTGGCCACTGTCATCACAGTGCCCAGGACCTGCACAGAGGGTCATTGTCACCTGTAGGAGAAGGCAGAGGGGACAGAGGGGTGCCCAGAGTCCCTCCGGTCCCCTCACCAGCAGGGGAGAGGGAGCAGTAGAGACCCCAGGGTCTCTGTCTGCAGCAGGGCAGGGGAGAGGGGACAGAGGGGTCCTTGTCACCAGCAGGGTAAGTGGGGAGGCAGAGGGGTCCCAGGGTCCTCATCATTGGCAAGGCAGGGGAGAGGAGACAGGGACAGGAACAGCGACAGGGACAGGGACAGGGACAGGGACAGGAACAGCGACAGGGACAGGGACAGGGGTGACCCGGGAATCAGCAGCACTGACAGGACAAGGGTGAGGGGACAAAGGAGTCCCCAGGGTCCTCACTGCCAGCAGAGAGGGAGGGAGGGAGGGAGGGAGGGAGGGAGGGAGGGAGGGACAGAGGGCTCCCCAGGGACACTGTCACCAGCAGGACAGGGCAGACGGGACAGGGATCCTCGGGGTGGCTGTCACCGGCAGGGTGGTGGGCAGGCTCTTCCGCAGGGTCTCCTCCAGGAGCTGCAGCTGGGCTGGGCACCTCAGGATCAGCATGGCTTCGTGACCTTGTAGGGACACCGAGGATCCGTGGGGAGCTGGTGGCACTGGGGCAATGTCCCAGAGTGTCCCAGCCGGGCACCCGTCCTCAGGTGGCCACAGGGCTGGCCCAGTGCCCAGTGTTCAGCAGGATGGACCCTGCCCGCTGCCCCCCAAGGCAGGGGGCACTCGCTGGCCCGTGACAGCTGTGGTAATCATTGTCACCAAGTGCCACACAGTCTCCAGACTCCCACTCCACGGCCCCCCAGAACCCACAGACTCAGGACTGTTGCAGGGTGAGTGCTGGAGGAGATGGGGACCATGGGGAAAGGGATGGGGACAGGGGCCATGCCTGGTGGTCCCCCTGTTACTGAGGGTCTCTCAGCAGGACAATGAAGATCCTGACGTGCTCTGCCCATCTGCAGCAACTGGAGGGGATCCTGAGGAAGAGCCTGCCCATCGCCCTGCCGGTGACGGGGACCCCACTGTCACCCCTGCCCTGTGCCACGATGGGGACCCCAATGCCACCCCCACCCTGCCAGTCACAGGGACCCTGCTGTCACCCATGCACTGTGCCATGACTGGGACACCAGTGTCACTCATCTGTTGCTGTGATGGGGACCCCAATATCCCCTTTGCTGTGAGGGGGACCCCAATACCACCCCTGCCCTTTGCCCTGCTGGTGATGGGGACCCCAGTGTCATTAGGGGCCCTTTTTGCTGCCCTGTTCCCCACACCTGCCCCTCTCCCCTCAGCTCTGACCCCACATCTGCCCCCATATCAAGCCCCCATCCCTGACCCCCATCTGTCCCCTCCTTGTCCCTCATGGCTGACCCCCTTTTCCTCCAAGGTCTTCGGGGCAGTGCTGAACATCAACCGGGGAAACCCTGGCCAGTTCGAGGTGCTGGTGGACAAGTGGCCCGAATTTGGCGCCGTGCTGGCCCGGCCCAGCGGAGAGGTGGCCAGTGGGGACATGGGGCACTGCAGGAGGGGGGTGAAACGGCGCCCTGGCACGTGCCAGGCGTGCTCAGAGCAGCCGTGGGTGCCCCCAGGTGCCGGCCAACGATGGCTACTGGAACACGCAGGCAGCGTTCTACCGGGACCTGGGGGCGTACCGGGCGCTGCTGGAGACCCCCGGCTGCCTGCGCTGGGACGCCGCCTTCACCCTCATCGGTGGCATGGGGACATCCTGGGGGCGTGCTGGGGAGGGGCTGGGCATGATCTGGGAGTGTGGGACACCGGGGAGAGCTGGTGGAGGCAGGGAGGAGCTGGGAGGTACTGGTGGAGGGGATTGGGGGTGCTGGGGGATGCTGGGGATGGGTGTTTGGGTGCTGGGGAGCGCTGGAGGTTTTGATTTGGTGTGCTGGCGTGGGGTTTGGTGGGTGATACCAGTGGGAAGTGCTGGGGAGGGATTTGGGGGTGCTGGGCAGCAGCAGGGAATTGCTCTGCTGGGTACCCTGGAAACAGGGTTCTGTGGGGAGTACTGGGGCTGGACTTGGGCATGCTGGGGGCACTGGGAAACATTGCAGCTGGATTTGTGGGGCCTTGGGGACACTGGGAGTACTGGGGCTGGAGTTGGGGATGATGGGGGCGGGATTGGGGCACTGGGCACACTGGAAGCAGGGATTTGGGTGCTGGGAATAGAGACCGGGGTTGCACGTAGCCCCTGGGGACACTGAGGAGGACACTGGGGTCACAGGGGCGCTGGGGACAGGGATGGTGGGGTACAGGGGAACAGGACCCCCTGACACCCCGATCCCCAGGGCTGCAGGATGGGCTGGCCACGGTGTCCCAGGACCTGGCAGGGAAGAAGGGTGTGGAGCTGGACATTGTCGAGTACTACTCCTACTGGCACCCTGACCCCAGCACCATGCCGGAGCCCCGGTGAGAGCCCCCCACCCTCGTTCCCACACGGGGACACCCCCGAGCGCCCCACTGACCCCTGCCTCGCCCAGGCCAGCCCCCGGGGTGCGCGTGGGCTCCCTGAGCCCCTCGCACGTGGACCTGCTCAACGACACCTGGCCCTACGGGGGCAACGCCCGCAGCCGGCGCTTCCTGGCTGAGATCTTGGGGCGCTTCCCGCAAGTGTGCCTGCAGGACGGCAGCGGGCAGCCCCTGGCCTGGGTGCTGACGGATCATTTCGGGACGGGCACCCACAGCTACACCCTGCCTGAGCACCGGCGGCACGGGCACATGCAGGTGGCCCTGACGGTGGCGGCGCAGCGGGCACACGCCCGCGGGTTCCCCACCTTCGGGCACACGGCGCTGGGCAACCGGCCCATGCAGCAGCTGCAGGAGATGCTGGGGAACCAGCGCCTGCCCGGGGTCTGCCGCTACATCCTGCACAATCCCGGCCTGGACAGGGATGGGCCCTGAGGCCCCGCTGTCCCCTATTCGCACTGACATTAAATTAAACAGCGGTGTGGAGTTTTGTGGGCTTTGTGTCCCCCCAGCACTGACGGTTACAGCAGTGACACAGCTTGGTGGCTCACGTGTCACCGCTGAGGCACACAGCGGGGTCCCCTGGGAGTCACCCCGTTCCAGGGTGCGCATCTCAGTTATTCTCAGTTCCCCTAGGGAGGGCTGAAAGCCACAGGCAAATCTGCACTGGTGGCACCTGCGGTGTTACCCCCTGAACCAGAGCGGTGTCACCACAGCTGGGGGTGAGACAGGCAGGCACTGGGGGGACAAACAGTGACACACAGGACAGAGTGGGACAGGGCAGACAGTGACACTCACTTCACAGTGTGAGTCATGGTTTGGGGGGCTGATGGGGATAGACAGGGGGGTGACAGTGTCCAGGGTGGAATGCTGGGATGGGAGTAACAATGTCCAGGCTGACAGGGAGAAACCACAGGGGTGACAGTGCCTGAGGTGATAGGGACAGTCACAGGGGTGACAATGCCAGAGCGTAGTGGGCACAAATGGAAGGTGACATTGCCTGGGGTGACAGTCACTGACACGGGTGACATTGCCAGGGGAACAGGGAGCACTGGGATGGATGTGACAGTGCCCTCGGGGTGACAGAACTGCCGCGGGGGTGACAGTGCGGCTGCTGACAGGGACAGCATGGGGAGGTGACAGCACCTGGTGACAGCCGGGGGGTGCCGAGCGGGGCGGGGGACCGGGGCCACCGCGAGGGTGGCAGTGGCCGAAGGTGGCAGTGGCCGAGGGTGCCCATGGCCTGTTCCCCAGCCCGGCCCCGCCGCTTCCGCCCGGCCGTGGCCAGGGGCGGGTCCCTGCCGCTGGTTCCCGGGACTGGCGGGTCCCGCCCGGTTCCCGGTAGTGGCGGGGCCCTGCCAGCTCCATGTCGCGCAGGGCCATGGAGCAGCCCCGGCGCATCACCGACTCCTTCCCGCGGCGGCGGCGGGGCCCGGGGCGGCCCCCGGGCAGGCTCAAGGACCGGAAGGACAAGAATAAGGACAAGGACAAGGCGCAGCTGAAGGTGCGGGAATGCCCCCGCACCCCCTCGCAGCCACCCCCGGACCCGGCGCTCATGGAGATGTTGCGGCGCTTCGACCTCTCCTGGGAGTACGGACCGTGCAGCGGTGAGCACCCCCGGTTCCCCCGGTTCCCCCGGTTCCCCCGGTGGTCCTGGGCTCCCCCCGGCCCCGCTGAGCCCCCGGTATCCCGCAGGGATCACCCGCCTGCAGCGCTGGGAGCGAGCACAAGAGCTGGGGCTGAGCCCCCCCGGCCCCATCCGTGACGCCCTCCTGGAGCACCGCGATAACCCCGATGTCACCTACAGGTGGGCTGGGGTGGGATGGGATGGGGTGGCATGGGGGGCACAGGGCATCCTCCCCCGCCCTTCCTTCCCGCTGACCCCGCTGTGTCCCCACAGCCTGTGGCACGAGTACGAGCTGTAAGCGGCCGCGCCGAGGGAGCAGGGGAACCATTCCTGACACCCCCAGACCCTATTGCAGGGACACCTGGTGCATTAAAGCTGGTGTGAGCGAAGGAAGGGGTGCTGTGTGCTGTCTGGGGGCCACGGGGTGGGGTGCACCTTGGGGTGCAGGGGGAGGGCAGGAAGTTGCATCCCCCCAAAAAAAAGCCAGGTGGGGTGTCCATCTCACAGTTTAATGTCACCCAGCTGGGACCCAGGGAGAAAAATGTGTTCTTGGGTGGAGAAAGGGAGGTGGGATTTTTTCCCCCAGGAATGGGGTGAAAAAATGAAGAATGAGGTATAAAATCAGGTGAAAGTGAGCTCAGGGGGCTGTGGATGGTGGGGATGTCCTGCAGTGGGGTGGGAAGAGGGACAGTTCCTGTGGGATTCATATGTTTAATAGCCCTAATTAGCAGCTTTGCTGTGTGTGCAGAATCATAAATAACAGGATGTGTCTGTTAATTATTCAGGTTATTGATGACTTAATTCACCAGCTCTTTCTGTTGTTTCATCAATAAAATAAATTGTTTCTATCTGTGGTGGGTCTAGTGTTGATTAAATGCTACTGCACCCACTAGAATATATTTACTTATTTTTTGTTGATTGTTTTGGTGCTTTTTATCAGCTTTAATTTTGGGGATATGGATGTTTACATGGTGGACTTTTATAGATAGTTTTTTATCTTAGTAGTGATGTCTTTTCAATTTTTAGCTAAATTTTTTTATGCTGCTAATTAGTATTTTTAAATTTTTCTAGCTATCCTCACAGAATACTGATTATGAATTAGTGTAGAGGTAGAGTTTTGGCTGCAATGGAGCATTGGAACCAGCAGTAATTTGGGATAAGGTGGGATTAAGTGGGATAAGGTGGGATAAAGTGGGATGGGGTGGGATGGGTGGGGGGGCCACCCACAACTCGCATCCCACTCGCACTGCAGCTCCTGACCCTCTGGATCGCATTTTCCAGCTGGATCTGGTCCTGCTGTAGGAGCTGCAGTCCCTTGGATATCTTCTACGGGGACATAATTCCTCTGGAAGGCACAGGATGGAGGTGTTTAGGTGGACCCCCAAAATAAGCATTCTCACCCAGCCAACCCAGGGCTGTGCCCTCCTGGTGGGAAGAAGGAGGGAGATTCCCACTCTCCTTCCTTGGCAGAGGGTCAGTCCCAACCTGGTGGGTGTCCCAGGAAAGGGGGAAGTGTCTGGGATGGCTCCAGCTGCAAGAACAGCCCTGGGAGATGGAGATGGACAGCAGCAGCCTCAGGGGCAGTTTCCAGTCAGGAAACTCCTTCCCTGGGAGGGTGGGTTTAGGTGGGATTTTGGGAAGAAATTCCTCCCTGTGAGGGTGGTGATGCCATGGCAGAGATTGCCCAGAGAAGCTGTGGCTGCCCCAGCCTTGGAAGTGTTCAAGGCCTGTTTGGATGGGGCTTGAAGTAACCTGGAATAGTGGAAAGTGTCCTGTGGGCCAGGGGTAACAACATGAAGGGACACCATGGTGGGAGGGGGCTGACACCATCTCACAGGGTGGCGGGGGGAGCACCTGGCTTTCCCCTCTACCATGGTCACAGCGAGCTGCGGGCTCTCTGTGTGCCTCAGTTCCCCAGTCCCGCTTCCAGCCCAGGCCTAGGCCACGGCCGTTGCCATGGCAACCCGGAAGTTGTGCTTCTCGCGCAAAGGCCGCCGGGAGTTGTAGTTCCCCCGTGCCGCACAAAATGGCGCCTCTGGGTCCCTGTGCCCGCCCGGTGTCTCCAGAGCGTTCACTCCGGTCCCTACTGGCAGCAGCCCACTCTCCAGGTGCTCAGGGTCACAAAACCACCAGGGGCTGCCATTTCCACACTTTATTGCCAGTGCAGGAGCAGTGTCGGTGTTTGTGTGGGGCTGGGGCAGAAGCACGTCCCAGCCCCTGGGTGCGGGCAGGGCGTGGGCGTGCCGGCTCGCTGGTCGCGCCCACATACGTAGGCCACGCCCACCCCTTGTTGCTATGGCAGTGAGAAGGTGCTGACCCATGCCCCCCAAATTAAGGCGCGGGTTCATCCGTGTGGGCGTGGCCAGGTGCATGGGTGTGGCCCTGGGTGTGGTCATCACTATGGGTGTGGTCGCAAAACGGGGCGGGGTCACCATCCATGCTGGCCTGGCGCACCACGCGGCGCGGGCGGGACGAGGGTCGTGACCTCGGGGAGGGACCCTCTGCTTCCTGCGTGGCCTCAAACACCTGACAGGGGACAGTGGGGTCATGCCATGCTGCTGTCACCCCACAGCTGGACCCCCCTCCCGCCCTGACCCCGCTCACCTCCCCGGCCAGGGGCTCCCCCAGCAGCTCGAGGGGCTCGGGGGGCTCCAGCAGGCTGATGCTCCGCATGACAGAGCACAGGGAGATGCGGGGGCGCCGGGAGGCCCCCAGCAGCCCGGCTCCAGCTGCCTCCTCCTCGGAGGGCTGTGGGGACGCCAGTGGGGAGGACAGTGGGGACAGGCCACTCGTGTCCTCCCTCGCGGTGTCCTCCTCGGGGTGCGCCCGTGGCTCCCACAGGCTGCTGTGCCGGCTGCCACAGAGCTGTCAATCAGCACCAGGCCACTCCCCCTGCTGGGAGCCACACCCCCTCGGCAGGGTGGGGCTCCCACGGGCTCCTCCCCCACAAAATTTCCCACACCTTTCCAGGTAGGGCACGGCCACTGCAGCCCCGCCCACCCACACAGAGGGGTGTGGTCACAACAGGCCCCACCCATCTGTCCCCACCCATGTGTCCCCACGCACCTGGCGCTCAGGATGCCCTGGTAGAAGTCGAGCTGGCGCATGAAGCCAGGGTTGGGCAGGACGCCGGGCCGGCAGTGCCGGACGTGCCGCAGCGCCCGCTCCAGGGGCCACCCGAACTCCTTCATGGCGTAGGCCAGCACCGTGGCGGCCGAGCGGCTCAGCCCCATGCGGCAGTGCACCAGCGCCCGGCCTCCCGCCGCCCTGCGGCACCTGCTGCTGGCACCACGGCACCGGCACTCGGGGACACCGTGTCCGCGGGGCTCCCAGTGTCCCCGAGATGTCCAGGATCCCCAGAGCTCCCAGTGTCCCCAGCCATCCCAGTGTCCACAGAGCTCCCAGGATTCTCCAGCCATCCCAGGATCCCCAGGGCTCCCAGCATCTTCCAGCCATCCCAATGTCCCCAGAGCTCCCAGCATCCTCCAGCCGTCCCAGTGTCCCCAGAGTTCTCTGTGTCCCCAGCCATCCCAGTGTCCCCAGAGCTCCCCGTGTCCCCAGCCACCCCACTGCTCCCCAGGATCCCATGTCCCAGCATCTCAGTCATCAAGACCTCTCCCCATGTCCCCCTCTTCCCCGCCCCACCTCCAGCCCCTGTGTCCCCGGTGTCCCCCATGGTGTCACTCCTGGTGCCCACTGACCGGACGCGGGAGAGGAAGAGGAAGGTGTCATTCCAGTGGGGCAGGAGCTCGGCCGCCTCCTCGTCGTACACCCGCACGTTCATGTACGTGAACAGCGCCGGGAAGAAGTTGTCAATCTCCCGTGCCACGTTCAGGATGTGGGTGACCCTGTGGGGACACGAGTGACACCCCAGGGGCGGCCCGTGGTGGCCCCAGGCCACCCCATGGCGGTGCCACGCCGTGCTCACCTATTCTGCTGCAGCTCCTCCAGGTTGGCTGCGTTCCACTCGGAACCCTGCATGGTGACAGTGGTGAGGGGAAGGGACACTGCCACCCGTCCCGCCTGCCGTGCCCGCCATGCCCACTGCCCACCAGGAAGAGGTGCGGGAAGACGCGGGAAGGCCGATCCATCTGTGCCAGCACCAGCAGCATCTCGTTGTCAATGAAGTCCTTGTGCTCGGCCAGGCTGTGCCCCGTGCGCCGCTCCAGCTCCTCCCGCACCTGGGCGCCACGCCGGGTGAGGGATGGCCCTGCCAGCCCTCCCCGTCCCCAGGACACCCTGCTGCCACCCCGGTGCCACCCACCTCCTTGGAGGTGACGTTCTCCAGGTCGGCGGCGGCCATCACCTCCCGCAGCAGCGCCCGCACCGCCTGCTCCGACAGCTCCGGCACGGCCGGCCTGCCACCAGCACCGCCGTGTCACCGCTGTCCCCTGCCCCACCCCGGCCACGCCCTGCCAGGCGCGGCAGCGATTGGCCGGCGGGCCGCGGGGTGTGGCGGGGCCGTGGCGGGGAGCTTACCGGAGGGGCGTGGGCGAGGCGGGGCGCACGGACTCGAGGTCGGCCATGGCCAGCCACTCGTTGAGGCAGCTCTGCTCGGAGCCCAGCGCCGCCGCGTAGCCGCGGGCCCAGGCCAGCGCGGGGCCGCCGGGGATGTGCCCGCCGCGGGCCGCGTCCTCGCAGGCGCGGTGCAGCTCCTGCAGCGCGGCCCTGCCGCACAGCACCTGCCACCCTGCGCTGCCACCGCCACCCCGGCGCCGCCCCCGCTGCTCTGTGCCCCTCGCTGGCCGTCCCCGGCGTGTGGGTGCCACCCAAGCCCTCCCCAGCTCCTTCGCCGTGCCCGTGGTGGTGCCCGTGGTGATACCCAAATCCCCTGTGCCCAGGATGGTGATGGCACCCCTCGTGTCCCCAGCGGTGCCACATCCCCCATGCCTGTTGCGCAGCTGAGATCCCCTGTGCCCCTGGCAGTGCCCGTGTCCCCAGTCCCCGAGGTGGTGCCCACCCCCCTGGTGCTCCCCATGCCACCCACACCCCCCCTGTGCCCAGGGTGGTCCCCATGCCCCCCGTGGTCACGCCCAGGCCTTGCTCACCACATGGTCTGCACAGAGATGGGCTTGAAGATGCGTGTCTCTCCCCCCGATGTCACACTGAACCCCCTGGGCATCAGGGGGACACACGTGGGTCAGGGTGGGCACCTTGACCCCTCTAGGCCCCTCCCTGTCCCAAAATTCTGTTCCTGCCCTTACCCGTCGCCGTCGAGGAACACCTGGGTGTCGCTCCAGAGGGGCAGCACCATGCCCAGGGTGCAGCGGCTGGCCCTGGGGCAAGCAGGGGTCAGGGGGTGCCGACGCCTCCCCGGGCCCCCCCGCACCCCGCTCACCCCTCGTGGGCGAAATCCACTCCCAGCAGCGCCGTCTCCGCCTCGGCTCCCGCCTCCTCCGGCCGCACCAGCAGCAGGTACCGCACCCGCCGCGGCCGCGCCGACTCCAGCCGCACCGCCTGCCGGAACGGCGGGAATCCCGGGGGATCTGCCCCTTCCCAGGGCTCCCAGTGACCGGGGAGGAGCATCGCGCTGGGCCATGTCCCCTCCTCATCACTTCCCATTCCATCCCCATTCCCATCCCATCTAGTCCCTATCACATTCCCATACCCTTCCTCTATGTTACTGCTTCCCATTATCCCCATCCCATCCTATCCAGTTCCCATCCCTATCACATTCCCCCTTCCTCGATGTTACTGCTTCCATCCCCATCCTGTCACCACCTTCATTCCATCCCCATCCCCATCCCCATCCCCATCCCCATCCCCATCCCCATCCCCATCCCCATCCCCATCCCCAGCCCAGCCTGTCCCATCCAGTCAACTTTTTCTCCCTGTCATGTCCCCATCCATATCCCATCCTGTCCCCGCTCCTGACCCCATCCATCTCTTTCCCTGTCCCCATCCTGTCCCCACTCCTGACCCCATCCATCTCTTTCCCTGTCCCCATCCTGTCCCCACTCCTGACCCCATCCATCTCTTTCCCTGTCCCCATGCCATCCTCGTGTTCCTGGAGGGGTGGATCCGTGTCCTACCAGCCGGATGGCGTCCTGGGGGCGCAGCAGCTGCATCATGAGGTGCAGGTGCCGCTCCTGCTGTCCCGGGGCCTGGCAGGGGGGCTCGGCCGGGGGGGGCTCGGCCGGGGGGGGCTCCTCAGCAGGCAGGAGCCGTGCAGCCCCCTTGACCACAACGAAGCTCTGCCTGGGGGGCAGGAGGGACCTGAGCACGCAGGGCACCCCCAGAGTGCTCCCCCAAGGGGGGGGAACTGTGTCCCCAGCCCACCCCAGTGTCCCCCACGCCGAGGTTTTGGTGCCCCCTCTCACCGTCGCTGCAGCTGGCCGCGTCTGGGAGCATCTTCCTCCTGCAAATTGGGAGGCAGTTCCTGGGGGAAATGTGACCCCAGGGCATGGAGGAGGCTCGGGGGTCCCACAAGCCCCCCACCAGCAGGGACACCACAGTCCAGTGACCCCCTAAACCCACCTCTGCCCCCATCAAATAGTGTGGGCCCCGGCGGGGGCATAGGGACCCTTTGGGGGTCCCACTGTGGAGATGGATCCCTGGGGACCCCTCGGGATGGCGGGGGGGTGTCTCGTCCCTGTGCCCCCCATCCCTGGCTGGGTGAAAGCTCTGGAAGGGGCGGCCTGGGATGAGCCCCCAGAAAGGCCCAGTGGTCACTGGGGGAGGCACTAGGGGCACCGGGACAGCGACGGGACTGGGAGAGGTGGCAAAGTGAGTGGGAGCAGCTTGGGACAAAACACCCCCATCCACACTCCATATTCCTCCCTTAGCTGTGGGAAAACCCCAGCCGGGAGTACAGGAAACTCCAACGCGTGCTGGGGGCAGCTCCGCTCCCAGTAAACTCCCAGCAAAGTCCCATCGGAAGCGCCTGGGATGACCCCGCACCGGGAACGACCGGAGCAACCTTCACCCATCCGGCCCCGCGCTGGCACCCCCGGGACAGCGGCACCTTCCGCACCGGGACCTTCCGGAGCACCGGGAACCCCCGGGGCTCCGACAAGGCACCGGGATCCCCCGGACCGGCCCATTTCCCCAGGACACCGGGATCCCCGAACCGGCCCGTTTCCCCAGGACACCGGGATCCCCGAACCGGCCCGTTTCCCCAGGGCACTGGGACCCGCAGCAGCTCCGGGACGCCCCGGCCCGCTCCGTGCCCCCGCACCGGGGCCCCCGCGGCTCGGGGACAGCCCGCACTCCCCCGGGAGCCGCCGTGCCAGCCCGCACCGGCACCTCCCGGGTCGCACCGGGACCCCCCGCCCGTCCCTGCCGGGATGCGCCGTCCCGGCCCGGGCCGGTGCCGCACTCACCGCGGGGCCCCCGGCGGAGCCCCCCGCCCGCCGCACCGTCACCAGCGCCATGCCCCGCCGCGCCGCCCCCCCGCACCAGGAAGCGCCGCCGCTGCCCCGCCCGGACGGGAACGAGAACGGGAGCGGGAGCGGGAGCGGGCACGGCCCCGGGCACGTCCCGGCGTGGCTCGGCTCTCCCCGCCACGGGAACGCCGCGGCCGGGACCCCCGGAGCGCCGTCCCTCAGAGCGGCACCTCCCCGGTGCCCCGGAGCCCCCCCGGGCCCCACATCCGTGCGGACAAGGCGGGACTGACACTCCAGCACTTGAGACACCCCCGGATCCTCCGAAAGTGGGAACCATCCGAGGGTCCCTGGCTCTTGGGACCCTCCCCCAGTGTCCCAGAACGCGTGATGCCTTCCCCAGATCCCCAGAAACTGTGGATCCCCCGAGGGACCCCAGCACCGGGGACATCCCAGGTTTCAGCCTGTGGGAATGCCCCAAGTGTCCCCGGCAGCTCACACCCAAGGAACCCCTTGTGACCCCATGGGTCCCCAGCCAAGGCCCCCTCCTTGGGCAGGGGTCTTTTCCCATGTAATATAAACAAAATAAACCAATCCCTGGGCCAGGAATGGGGGCACAGGGCCAGACTGGGGGGAGCTGAGGAGGAGCAGCCCACTAGTGCCACCCACACGCTCACTGGATGAGCCCCATCACCTGAGCCCCACCCTAGCTGTAGGATCCATCCCTTCTCCCAGGCCCCACCCTGGGACACGCCACCCATCACGCCCCAGGCACGGACACACGTGTGTATATATATATATAATATATGTATATGTATATGTACAGACATTCGGGGCCCCCCTGCCCCCCCACTGCCCCAAAGGAAGAGGCCTGGGGGTCCCCCAGCAGTCCCCCCCCACACTGCAGTGCCTTAAAATAGGGGTCACCTGCATCCCACGGGGACCCCCGGGTCCGTCCTGCCCCCCATGGGTCACAGTACAACACCAAAGAGGAGGGGGTTCCCTAGGGAGGGCTCTGGGCACAGGGGTGTCCCCAGGTGAGGGTCCCTGGGCTGAGGTTTGAGCCTGGCGGGAGAAGAGCCCTGGATTGGGGGTCCCGGGGGTAGGAGGATCCCTGGATCAAATCCCCTGTGGGGGGCTGTACCCACATCAGGGGGGTCCCCATCACGGGGGGGGCCATCCCAGCACCGGCTGCTCCTCAGGCAGGGCTGTGCCCGCCCTGGGCCATCCTGGTGTGGGACAGCGCCCGCACCGGGGTGTCCCTATCCCTGCAAGGGGTGTCCCCACGTGGGACATCTGCGTCCGTGCGTGGGCTGACCCCACATGGGACACCCCGGTCCCTGCGTGGGACGTCCCTGTGCCGGCGTGGAGCGCCCGGGGCCGGGCGCTACTTCTCGGTGAGGGAGAGGCGCAGGATGCGCTGCAGCTCCTCGTCCTCCTCGCGCCGCCGCCGCTCCCGCTCCTCCTGCTCCCGCTCCGACAGCGCCATGGCCAGGCGCAGCTGCTCCGCGAAGCTGCCGTACCCGGGGGGGCCGGGGGGGCTCCCGCCGCCCGCTCCCGGGGGGCTCCCGGCGGCCGGGGGCTCAGTGCTGGGCCCGGCCTGCAGCAGCATGCTCTCCTGCAGTGCCCTGCGCAGGGGACAGCAGCGGGGGTGGTGGCATGGGAGCCACAGCCGTGGCATGGGGGCCACACCCCCTCTCTCTGGCGCACCTGTGCCCCACCCCTGGAGGCCACACCTCCTTCACAGCCCATAAATGGCCTGGGGAGCCATGCCCCTCCCCACATGCCCCACCCAGCTGCTAGCCACACCCACACCTGCGGTTAGCCACGCCCATTATGACCACACCCTTTCAGCCCCTCCCCTGACCACGCCCTGACACCTTTAACCCCTGCCCCTCCCAGCTCGGCCCCGCCGAGGTGAGGTGGGTGTGGCGCCCCAGGCCACGCCCCCACAGATGGAACCTCACCTTTCCAGCTGCAGGTCCTCATCGTAGGGCGGCGGCTCCGCGCCGGGGCGGGTGTTGGTCAGCGCCTCCCAGATGGTCACCTGTGGGGTGTGGCCACGTGTTAAGGGCGTGCCCAGGTGCGCGTGGGGCGTGTCCAGGGAAGGGGGCGTGGGCGCACCTGGTCGGTCTCGGTGCCGGCGTCCAGCAGGCTCTGCTGGATGGCGAACTGCAGCAGGTCGTCGTCCTCGTCGCGCAGGGGCTCGCTGCGCCCCGCGCCCAGCACCGTGTACCCCGCCGGCACCTCGAACACGCCCGCCTCCACCTCGCACGGGAACGGCCACGCTGCCGCGCACGGCCAGCTGTCAGCACCGCCCACGGCTGTCCCCGTGACACCCCACGGCACCTCATGGTGCCCCACAGCACCCCAGAGCATCCCCTGACACCCCACGCCCACCCGTTCTGTATCCATGGAATCCCAGCCCTCCCCGGCCCCTCAGCCTCACCTCTGGGCCCTGAGGGTTGGGTGCCAGGGGGGTGGGCGCCGGGGGGCTCCTGGGGGGCGCAGATCCGCACGGAGCCCAGGGGCTGGTCACACCCGCACAGGTTGCTGAAGGTGATGCGGGCGTTGAGCACGTGGAACAGGGGGATCTCTGCGGGTACAGGCGCCAGTTGAGGCCCCAGTGAACTCCTGTCCCTGTATATCCCACCCCAAATTAAGTTTTTCCCTCTCACCAATCTTGACGGGGAAGCCAGGGGGCAGCTTGAGGGTGATGAAGTCGCGCAGTTTGGCGAAGTGGGCATTGGAGATGGCCATGAGGTCGATGATGGGCGTCACCTGCTCCGCCAGCGACAGCGGGTGCTGCTCGCACAGCCACAGCGTCGCCTTGAACCTGCCCGGGCACCACCGTGGGCACGGGGACCCGCCGGGGCCACCAGCACCACCCCCGTGCCACCACCCTGGCCACACCTCTGAGGTACAGACAGCGGCATGGCCCCGAGGACTCTGTCACCATCCCGAGGACTCTGTCCCCACCCAGTATGGCCCGACCCCGGGGCGGTGGCCTCACCTCTGCACCTTGCTGGACATCTCGATGGGGCGCCCGATGTTGCGGGTCTCCAGGTCAAAGTGGGGGTCGAAGTACTCCTCGGGGGTGATGGCCGTGGGGTTGGTGGGGCTGGCAGCCTGCAGGACAGGTGCCTGGGTGGACAGTAGCACCACTCAGCCCCCCTGGAGAGCCCCGGTGTCCCCAGGGACCCCCGGGATGGCCACTCACCCCGTTGTGGGTGCCGTGCTGCTGAGCAATGCCCAGGAAGGAGTGGAAGGGGGTCTTGGAGCCTGGGGGAAGAGGGGGGTGCAGGGTGAGGTGTGGGCAGTGGGAGGGACTCCCAGGGCTGTCACCCCTCACACCCCTCATGAGTGGCACACTGTCCCATGCCTGTCACATTATCCCCACAGTTTCCCACACCTGACATGTCACACCCCACACCCACAGTGTCCCACACCTGACATGTCACACCCACAGTGTCCCACACCTAACACCCATGCCACCCAGGAAGGGTGGCGTGTCCCCACCATGTACAGGCCCCCTGATTGGCTGACAGGGCTGTCACCTTTGCTGCGTGACTTGTCCTGGTCGGAGAGATGCTCCGTCCTGGTCTTGGTGACCAGCTCCACGTTGCTGGCACTGTACACCTGCGTGGGGACACTGTCAGGCCTGCCACACTCCAGGCTGTCCTCAGTGTCCCCCCTGTCTCCATGCTCACCTTGGCCTCGTAGCCACTGACCACCTCCATCTTCTCCGAGCGCCAGCCCCAGATCCCAGACTTGTTCCTGGGGGAGCGGAGAGGCCTCACTCACCCTCTTGCACCAGCGCTTCCTTCCCCTTCGCCCGCGCTTCCCCCTCGCACGGCCCCTGCTGGCTGAGAGCTCCCCTCCCTTCCCCTCCCCTCCCCACCTCTCGAAGGCGATGTTCCGGGTGTCCAGGTGTGTGGACACGATGGGCGAGGTGAGCCGGCCGGCCACGTGCTCCTCGCTGGGCTGCATGGCCGCCAGCAGCAGCTCGGGCTCGTGCAGGGCCAGCGCCAGCGTCTCCGTGTACACCACCTGCTTGTCGTGGTCCACCTCCATCACCACGGCCCCCTCGTCTGCGTGGGGACACCGCAGGGCTCAGCACCCAGCCCCCCATGCCCTGGGGGACACTGGGGGGCCTGGGAGGATTGGGGTCCCTTGTAAATGCAGGAGCTGAGGTGGTTCCCTCAGGGAGAACAAAGGTTTCCTGGGGGAGATCTGGGGAACTGGGGGTCCCCTGGTAAAAGAACTGAGGTGTTCCCCTTGGGAGGGGGGAACTGGAATCCCACGTGGTCTCTAGAGGGGACCTGGGAGGTCCTTATGGGAGTATTCATAGTGCAGAGGGTCTGGGGGATCTCCAGGGAGGTCCCTGTAGGGAATCTGGGGTCTTTACAGGGGCGCACTTATATTGCAGGGGGTCTGTGGCTCCCCACAAAGACTGGGGGGCCCCCAGGGGTGCAGGGGGCCCGGGGGCTCCCCAGGGTGACAGAGGGGCCGCGGGGGGCTGGAGCTGACCTTCTCCCTTGAAGATGTAGCTACGGCGGCCGCGCTGCCACGTCATGTGCTCGAAGCCCAGCAGGGTGGTGTCCACCCGCAGGCTCTCGCCGCGCTTCCACACGCGGTACACGTCGCTGGGACACACCTTGGACACCAGGGGCACTGCGGGCACAGGGACCCGTCAGCCCCGCGGCCGGGGGGCCCCTGGGGACCCCCTTCCCCCGCCCAGCCTGGCCACGCTCACCCCAGCTCGTGAACTCCCACTTCATCTCCACGTAGAAGTCGGATGCCTGGAAGGGATGAGGAGAACGGTGGGGGATGTGGAGGGGCTGGGGACTCCCTGATAAGGTCACTGGAGAGGGGGGGAGTCTGGGGAGAAGGGATGGGGGTCCCTATTGGGGTCCTGGGTGGGGATCAGAGAGACTGGGGCCATTAGTGCAGGTCCACAGGGAAGGATAAGCAGCAAGTCCCAGAGGAAAAGGATAAGCAGGGGTTCCCCAGGGAAAAAGAGAGTCAATGGGAGCTTCTGGGGAGAATTTGGGGTCCCTTCTCAGACCACTGAGGATATGGGAAGTCTGGAGAGCAGGGGTGGGGATCCGTATTGGGGTTCTTGGTGGGGATCAGGACAATGTGGGGAAGTGGGGTTGGATAGGCAGGGTGTCCCTGGGGAAAGAGTGGGGTCATGGAGGAGACAGGGGGGCATGGGGAGACTTGGCGGGTCTCTGCTGGAGTCACTGGAGATGGGGAGTCTTGAGCCAAGGGATGTGGCTGGTGGGTGTCCCTGGGGGCTGCAGGGTGCAGTTCTGGGGGGCTGTACCCGCCGCAGTTTGCTGAGCAGCTCGGGGATGCCGGCCAGGCGCCGCGTTGCCCGCTGGTAGTCACGGTACTGGAGCACCAGCTGCACCATCTCGGGGTCCCCTGTGCTCACCGCCTCCTGCAGCACTGGGGACACGGGGTGCCATCAGCTGGAGGCCACCCGCCCCCCTGGATGGTGTCCCCAAGTCCCCGAGGTGTCCCTGTACCCGTCCATCCATTGGCGTTCTCCCGGCCCACGTTGGCGTTGTGCCGCAGCAGCACCCGCACCGACTCCAGGTGGCCCAGGGACACGGCCAGCTCCAGGGGCGTGCGGCCACGCGGGTCTGTCAGCTCCACGTCGTGCTGGAAGGGTGCTGGGGTCACTGTCCCCTCCCCGTGCCACCCCTGCGTCCCCCATGCTCCCAAGGCCTGCTGCTCCCTGCCCCCCCTTCTCCCAGTGCACCCAACCCCATCCCAGTGCTCCCATTTGCTTCCAGGCCTTTGGTGCTACAGTCCCTTATTATCCCAGTGTCACCAGTCCTTCCAGTGCCACCAGTCCTTCCAGTGCCACCAGTTCTTCCAGTGCCACCAGTCCCCTGAGTCCCAGTCTCCCTGGTACTCCCAGTCCCCACACCACTCCCAGTCTTGCTCCAGCACTCCCAGTTCCCCCAGATGCTCCCAGCGCTGTCCCCCCCGCTGTCCCGCCGCCAGCTCCCCGTGCTCCCAGTTTTCCCAGCCTCCCTCCAGTTTCCCCAGGGCTCCCAGTTCTCCCATCCCCTGTTCCCCATCTCCCTTGGTGCTTCCAGTCCCTCTGCAACGCTCCCAGTCTTTTCCCCAGTGCTCCCAGTGCCCCGTGTACCCAGCCTTCCCTAATGCTCCCAGTCTCCCTCCAGAGCTCCCAGACCCTCAAGGGTCCCCATCCCCACAGTGTTCCCAGTATCTCCCAGGGCTCCCAGTCCCTCAAGGGTCCCCGTTCCCGCAGTGTTCCCAGTATCTCCCAGGGCTCCCAGTCCCTCAAGGGTCCCCGTCCCCGCAGTGTTCCCAGTATCTCCCAGGGCTCCCAGTCCCTCAAGGGTCCCCGTCCCCGCAGTGTTCCCAGTATCTCCCAGGGCTCCCAGTCCCTCAAGGGTCCCCGTCCCCGCAGTGTTCCCAGTATCTCCCAGTGCTCCCAGTCCTTCCAGCCCGCCCAGCATCCCCCCTCCCCCCCCCGCGCACAGCATTCCCGGTTTTCCCCAGCGCTCCCAGTCCCCCCACCCCCGCGCTGCGGGTCCCGCCGTTCTCCCTCCCATCCCCTCCCGCCCGTTCCCGTTCCCGGTGCCGGTGCGTGGGGGGGTGCCCGCTCCCCGGCGCCGCTCCCGGTGCCGCTCCCGGCGCCGTTCCCACCGTCCCCGCGCGCAGGGCGCTGTCCAGCGCCTGGTGCCGGTTGTGCCAGACGAGCCGGTGCAGCGGGAAGGTCTCGGCGGGCCGGGCCATCCCGGCACCATGTCCCCGGGGCCGCCGGGGCGGACGGACCGGGCCGCAGCGCGGGGCCTGCCCGCAATGGCTGCGCGGGGGCGGCGGCGGCGCAGCGCGGCGGCGCGGGGCGGGGCCGCACCGGGCACCGGCAACCGGGAACAGGCAACGGCACCGGCGGGGGGCAGCGGGAAACGGGGACGGCATCGCCGCCGGGAACGGGCACCGGCAAAGGGAGCGGGAAAAGGGAAGGGGCATTGGCACCGGGCACGGGCACCGGCAAAGGGAGCAGGAACGGGGCTCCGGGAAGGGGAGCAGGCACCGGGCACGGGAATGGCATTGGCACCCGCACGGGAACGGGCAGCAGGAAAGAGAACGAGGGGTCGGGAGTGGGGCACTGGAAACGGGAATGGGAGCAGGCACTGGGAACAGCACCAGCACCGGGAACCGCGATTGTGGGCACCGCCACTGCAGCAGCACCGGGAATGCAACGGGAACCGGCACCGGCCACAGCCTGGGGCCGCACCCTCTCACACTCTCCCATCGGGATTGAAACCAGGGACCCCCTGACCCCCAGCTGACCCCCGGTACGGGGGGCTGCCGGTGCCCGGCCTCTCCTGCTGGACACCCTGAGGGGCCCCGGGGCTCCCTGACCCCTTTGACATCATAACATCAGTGGAGGGGTACCCGGTGCTCAGGACCGTCGTGCATCCAGCCCTGGGTTCATCCCATCCCATCCCATCCCATCCCATCCCATCCCATCCCATCCCATCCCATCCCATCCCATCCCATCCCATCCCATCCCATCCCATCCCATCCCATCCCATCCCCAGGAATGCCGGAGCACCAGCCCAGCTGCGCCGCGCCCTGACACACTGCCTGCAGGCAGGGTGTGGGCAGGAGAGGTGGCACCTGCACTGCCTGGTGACAAGTGACAGCCAAAATCATCCGTGGGGACAGAGCAGCAATGGGGGACACAACCTCCAGCAGCCCACACTGGCTCAGGATCCCCATCCTGTGGGGCTTGGGGATGCTCCGGTATGTCCCCAAAGTGCTGGTGTGTCCACAGGGGGACAATCAGGAATCTCCCACACCACAGGAGGTGACAAGGACTCCAGGCCACCCTCAGCGGGCGTGGAGCCATCTCTCCCTCCCACAGTGAGCTGGAGCTGGATGGTATTTTTCGATCTTTTTATTATAAAAACTTTTTTTTTTGGCATTCTCACATCTCTGCTCATGAAAACCTCACTCACCCATTGCCCCTGCCCTGCCCCGTGCCCCCCCTGCCCAGTGCCCCCCCAGCCCCGGGAGCAGAGCGACCAGAGACTAATATTTACAGATGCTGCTGGGGTCGGGGGGGCAGGGGGCACCCCTGTGCCCACCCATGGCTGGTTTAAGGGGGTCCCACCCGCTCCTTTCCCCTCAGGAGGGAGGGCAGGGGGCTGGGGGTGCCCTGGGGCGGGGCAGGAGGGGCAGCGGCAGAGCGGGGGGCACAGGGGACCCGTGGCACAGTATTTACAGGGGGTCCCCCCTGGGCACACGCTCACTCACACACAGCCACACACGCACACGAGGGGGTGCCACCCACAGGACGGGCACAGCCACGCAGGGAGGGGGGGACATGCCGGCTGGGGACCCCGCCGGCCCCTCTGGCACGCACGGCACTGGGGAGCAGGCGGGAGGGACGGGGGCTGCCTTCATCTGAGCCGGAGAGTTCCTGCAGGGCCGGGGGGCACGCCGGGGAGAAGGTGCCAGGCCACGTGCCCGCGGTGTCACCGCGCCCCTGGGTGACACCGGCACCGGGCGCGTCCCCTCCCCGCAGCCCCCGGGCACACGGAGAGCAGGGGACACGCGGGAACCCAACCCAATAAATTAGAGGTGGGGTGGGAACGGGGGAAGGGGGCGTGGGGAGGGGTCAGAGCCCGTTGTGGGAGCGCTGGATGAAGGGCACTTTGCTGAGCTCCACCACGGGCGAGCGCGGCTTGTTCTGCATGCGGGGCACCCGCTGCAGCAGCTGCTGCGCCTGGCGCTGCGCCTCCCGCAGCTCCTTCCGCCACTGCACCAGCTCGGGGTCGCTCTGCGGGGCAGGCAACTGGGTCAGGAGCGGGGACAGGGCAGGGCACAGCGTGGCTGGGCCACCCCACGGTGCCAGGGCTGTGGGGTTGCCCCATGTTTTCAGTGCTGATGCCCTGGCATGACTAAACATGCAAGTGGCCAGCAAGAAGTGGCTATTAGCCAGCTGGGGGGATGGCTAGCAGGAGCAGGGGGGATGGCTAGCAGGCAGCAGGAGGTGGCCAGCAGCCAGGGGGACAGGGGGACGCACTCACGTCGCACTGCAGCACGAACTGCTTGCCCCCGCGGATGCGGAGTAGGATGCACTTGCGCTCCTTCACCTGCGTCTCCTCCACCGAGTCGATCTCCTCCATGGTGAGCAGGGACTGCTGGGGGGACAGGCTCAGCCCGGTCCCCCGGGCGCCCCCCAGCCCTGCCCCCCGGTGCCGTGCCCCCCTTACCGGTGACTCGCCCTCCCCGCGCCACTCCAGGCGGTTGGGGAAGAGGTAGAAGTAGCGGCGCTGCCACTGCGTCAGGAAGGGGTTGCCCAGCTTGGCCATGTAGCCGTGCATGATGCAGTCCTTGCCCATGGCGTACTCTGGGATCACAGGCAGGCGGGATCAGCACTGGGATGGGGCCAGGGGTGGTTCAGGGCGGGGGTCCCAGTCCCACTCACCCTCCTCATGGCCCAGCTGCTTGTTCTTGGCCTTCTTGCGGGCCTCCAGCTTGTCGGTGTCGGCGTTGACGGCATCGAAGACGGTCTCGGTGACCTCCTGCTGCCAGCGCTCCGAGATGGTGAGTGGGAAGTTGCGGTACAGCTCCTGGTCACTCTCCAGCAGCTGGGCAGGGTGGGATGTTGGGGTGAGGGCTGTGGGTCACCCCACACCCTCACGCTCAGCCCCTGGGCCCGGTACCTTGATGCCCTTGGTGTCCTCCTCGTCAAAGGAGCCGATGTCAAAGGCGTCGGCCGCATTCACCTCGCCGCGGGGTGGGACGAGAGGTGGTGGGTACTGTGGGCAGCAGGGGGGGTCAGAGGGGTGGGGTGGTTAGTGTCCTTGTCCCTGTCCCCAGCCATGGGCACACACCCCTCACCTTCTGCAGGAACACCATCTGCCAGTCCAGGCCCTTGAAGAAGGGCTCTTCCTTCACCTCCTGCGCCCTGCAGAAGGAGGAGGGCGGGTGAGCGTGGCCGCAGGGGGACTGTGCCAGCACACCTTGTCCCATCCCCTGGGGGCCATGCCAGCACACCTTGTCCCATCCCCTGGGGGCCTGGGGACACTCACCCTCGGCCCATGCAGCCCAGGCGCCGGTTGACATCCCGCTGCAGCAGCCCCTCGAGCAGGGAGCGCAGCTCCGGGGAGAAAGAGTCCGGCAGCTCCACGGCCTGTGGGAGATTCCATGAGATCACTGCTGAGCGGGGACAGGGACACACGGTGACACACAGCTGGGCACAAACACGTGCTCCAGGCAAAGACTGGCTGTCCCTGACACCCTGTGTGCCTCCCATGTCCTGCCCACAGCCCCCTCAGTGCCCCCACCCACCATAGTGAGGGTCATCCGGTCAATCTCGTGCTTGTCCTTCGTCTTGTGCTGCCGGAACGGGCTGTGCCTGTGGCGTGGAGGGAGAGGGGGCTCAGCAGTGCCCAGCTGTGCCCAGCTGTGTCCAGCTGTGCCCAGCTGAGCTCACACTCACCCCCGGAGCAGCTTGAAGAGCATGCAGCCCAGCGAGAACCAGTCGGCGCTGCTGTCGTAGGCCACCCCCTTCTGCAGCACCTCCGGCGCCATGTACCCGTGGGTGCCCCTGGGGAGGGGGCACAGGGGGGTCAGGGGCCGCCCCGGGCGTGGAGGCAGGGCGGGCAGGGGTGTGGGCACACTCACACGCTGGCGTGGGGCTTCTTCTTGGAGAAGTCGCAGGCCAGGCCCAGGTCGGAGATGCGGACGTGGCCGAACTCGTCCAGGAGGATGTTTGCTGGCTGCGGGGACACCAGGGGACACCCTGAGCCCCAGAGTGGCCCGTGGGTATGGGGTGGTGAGCCTGGGGGGCTCTCTGGGATTTGGGGGTGTCAGAGTGCCCCCAAAGTCTCAGGGCACCAATGGATTTTGCTGTTGGGGGTGTCCATTAGAGCTGAGGGTGCCCTCTGGCACTCCCACCTCGTTCTGAGGGCAGGGTTTGTGACACTGTGGGTGCCCACAGGGCGGTGCAGGGGGTGCTAAAGGGATGTCCTGGGGATGTCCTGCAGGTGAGGACGGTCACCTTGAGGTCACGGTACACCACGAAGCGGCTGTGCATGTGCTCCAGGCCCAGGATGATCTCGGCTGCGTAGAACCTCATCTCCGCCTCTGAGAAGACTCCATGCTGGGACAGGTGATAGTGCAGGTCCCCCCCTGTGGGGACAGGGACTGGCTGTCACCTGGAGCAGCTGTGGCAGGGGGCTCTGTGCCCCGGGAGTGGCTCAGGGCCGGGGTCTCACCATTCATGAGGTCGAGGATGAAGCTGAGCTTGTCGGGTGTGTGGAAGGCGTAGGACATGCACACGATGAACGGGCAGTCCTGGTGGAGACACAGGGTCACCCTCCCCATCCCTGTCCCCTGCCACCCTGTCCCCAGCCCAGCACCCGTGTCCCCTCACCCCAGTGCTGACGAGGGACAGCATGATGCGCTCATTGAGGGCCAGCGTCTCGCCCTGCTTCATCTTGATGCGTTTCTTGTCCAAGCACTTCATGGCGTACCTGGGGGGGACACGGAGTCCCTGCAGCCACCGTGTCCCCACAGCAGGGCCAGCACCCACAGCCATGACAGCTCCCCAACATGTGCCACCACAGCAAAGCCACTGGGCCCCCCCAGCACCCCAAACCCCAGGCAGGCCCCTGGGTGCCGGGGCATTCCCGTTACATTTTGCCCGTGTCCGCTTTCCGGCAGCCGTAGACCTCCCCGAAGCCGCCGCGGCCGATGATTCGGTGAACGCTGAA